TCAACTTAGTCCAAAAATAAATGATTTACATAATGAAATAGTAATATACAAACAATATATTTTGTATTTTCCATGACAAGTAAGCAATAAACGCATTGATTTTTTCTTCTTCTTTATCTTCTTCTAAAACATATAGTTTGTAGATTTTACTAAAAAAGGGTTAGAATATTTTTGGTCAACTTAGTCCAAAAATAAGTGATTTACTTAATGAAATAATAATATACAAATGATGCATTTTAAACCCCTCTTGACCAGCCATCATCAAACTAAACCTTATGCTTTTCTTGTTCTTTTTCTTTTTCTAAACTCCTTTTTTTTAGATTGTACTAACAAACGTTTAGAATGTTTTTGGTTAGCTTGAGTCCAGGAATATTTTTTATAATGAAATAATAATGGGCAAATTATTTTATCTCATGGTCGAAACCTAACCGTGTATCAATTTGTAATGTAATTATTTTCCCGATTATTCGAGTGGAGAAATACGAGCATTATTGCATTTTCATGAATATAAGATTAGGGTGATTTATTAAACATTAGCCCAATTGTTCCAAACTATATTTTTATTAATTAATTCGCAGTCATTATTTAGGAATTGTTACTGTTAGTGGGAGTTTATAAGACTTTATTTTTATTTTGGTCGTTTCTGATCATTTTGATGTGCTTATCTTATGCTTGGTCGGCCAACACTGTCACCACTGACGATGGCGAGATGACCCAAACAGCAAATATAGCCAAATGAATGGAAACAACCAAAATACAGTTTCATCACCACGAAGGCCCCAAGAGGAAATCTTACATTTTTAATTGCTTAAATTAATTTAATGGGATAATACATTTACCCAGTTGCTATGCTAACAAGAACCAGTGTACCGAGATAAAAGTAAAACCAAGGAAAGGAAACTATAACGACTAAAGAGTGAAGAAGCTAAGAAAAACCGAAAACAAGAGAACTTTATTTTTAGTTATTGGCAATGGAAAGAAATCAATCATTACTTTATAATGCATGAAAATTCTGTTTCTTGTAAATGGACATTCTAACCGATCAAACTTTCCTTTTTAAAAAGATAGTTCCTACTCTACATCGGTCAAACTTTTGTTCATCATCGCATTTTTTAGTATGTACAATGAAAATTTGCCCTGAATTCAACCTAAAATTGTAAGTGTAATGAAGTCTAAACCAAAATTCGGTTAATATTCAATTGGTACGCATCACTTTGGCTACGAGATGAGATGAATTCAAGGTGGCGGGCTTTGTATTCCCCAGGTATGCAGCCTTCTGGCTTATTGTACCTTCCTAGTCCCCCAGTTAAGTGCAACTGACTCGATTTTTCTCCTAAGAAATACTAGGTCATTGTGGCTGCTACAATTTTGTTCCCTGTTTTTTCCTTTTGTATCCTAGGTCATGTCTCTATTGAGCCGTTGCTTCGCATTCGAGGATGATGTGGGTACTTGTATCATTATTTGGTGTAGGGCTGATTTACAGAATTTTCCTTTGGTAGGCATGCTGATATTTATGAAGGAGTTTTTCTTTAACAGAACTGCCCCTTATATGTTTTTCAACTAGCCTTTCGGGTGTTTTGAGTATAAAGGATGTTAGACTGATCGATCAGTATGATTTTGCATCTGTGAAGTTTTTCCTTGCGGCCATCGGAATAAAGACTAATTTTACCATTCTCCATGTGCTTGAGATGTTTACCATTGCCAGGCAGCATCTGTATATGTTTACAAGTAGAGGAATTGGTGTTATTTTTTCTTTTTGTAAGGAATATTGGATGTATCCCGTCTGTCCCTGGAGATGTGGGACCGAAGTTGTCAAGGGCCCATTCAATTGTTTCATAGGTGATTACTGTTGCACTTGGCCCTATATAATTTTTCTTCCTTTATCTCCCCCTTTTACTACTCTACCTTTTCACTAACCTGGATAAGGGCTACATCGATGCTGTTCTCCTTGGCCAAGCGTAAGTGTTGCAGCTTTACTGTGCTGGAAGTTTGCTTTAAGCGCCCTCAGCATCAGTTTTTGTTATGGCCCTTACGGTTATCATCGCAAAGCTAAGATAAAGTTTTAATTTGATGCATCAAGAGTTAGACCTTTGCTTTTGCTCTCTGGATGACGATGATGTTCCCAGCATTCATACATGGGTTTTGTGATTTCAGCCCGAAAATAGTGGCAGTGTCCTTAGTGCCCGGAATCCAGCACCCACACGGCACTCTAGTGGTTTTTATAGTTTATCTGTAAGGGCCTATTCTGCGGTTTGCCCCTTTCCACGGCAGTGAGTAGGTACCGTTTCCATGAGCACTCATGACATGGTGACAGCCCCTTTCTCAACGTACTCATATCTGAATTGAGGTCCTTTGGAGTTTTTGCAGCTAGGTTGGTCCGCTGGACGGCTCATCCCTGGTTCATGGGAGTTGTAGAGAGTTCGGAGCGCTTTCCAATTTCCATAAGTTGGTTTTTGTGGTCTTCCTTTGCAAGTTTCCCCGTTGTTTTTGTGTTTCCTTTTGGCTTATCCATGTGTTCCCACGGGTATGAAGGATCTAAAGGTCCGGGTGGGGAGGTACCTTTAAGGCTTTAAGGTGTAAGGTTGATTACTCAAGGATGTCCTGGTAGGTACCCGTAGGCTTCGTTATTGGTACACTACCATCCATCCATAGGCACGGGTCGTATAACACCTTAGATTGGCTGGATTGTAAAATTAGGATTGGGATTAGGGTAGGAGTCTCTTTCCGTCTGTTTGATGAACAGGATACACCCGCATAAGCTTTAAGAAGGTGGAAAGGCTTAGTTGAGTATTAGGCTATTAGAAACGCATAGTACCCATTGCGAGAATTATGTCAAGGTACATAATACGCCCACGGGTCCCCTCACCGGGACCAGGCGTTCCGCCGGACCCCGTTAACTTTTCATCAGAAGGGGCAATAACCGAAGATCGTTGTCACAAATACTATGGTTACATCTGCTTTGAACTTGGCAAACAAAATGATTACAACTGGACATAGAACATTTTTATGCCTAGGACGACCGCCGCGTTGTTGAAGCTTCCGAAACGTTTGTTAACAAGAAAATGTATTTGAATGGATCAATTTAAAAATAAATTAAGAAACAAATACAAATTATATCCCTCGAAAATACGGTGCTCTGCTGAACTAGTTCACAACAAACAAATCGATAGTATAGAACAGGAGTGTGTGCGCACTGGGTTAATGAGAGCCGCATTCCGGGTTTTTTATGTACATATTACAGTGTAAATATTCACTCAAAAATCACAAAACACATTGCTAAATTCACAAATTCAGATTTATTAATCCGGTTACTTATTACACACAAGTCCGGTACAACGTGCAATACATATTTAAATATTAAAATAAATAGAATATTCAAAAATAGCATGAATAATTACCAATGAATACTTTTTTGACAAATCTTTAAATTTAGAGTAAAATGTGTTAAGAGAAATTCACAATTTCTTCCTACCAAACCGTGGAGTTAGTCGGCAAGCAGGATTTTTTATCGTGGATGTATTGATTCTGAAAGGAGTTGCTTATATTAAATTATATAAATAGATTTATGCTAGATTTGCCCTCCGGATTCACTTCTCTTACATGTTCAAATATGCTTACAAATTTTCCGGTTTTTCCTTATATTCTTCTAATCTCTTTATTACATTCACTCTTGGAAATTGTTTATGTATTTTGCCCTTTTTTCACATTGTAAACTAAATACAAGTGATGTCAAAATAAGCGTCAGTAAATGTTTCAAGCATGTCTGTAAGGATCAGAGAGCCAGAAAACCAAGTTTCAATTTGTAATTCTCGGTTTTTTCTTCTTTAAACTTATAATTGACTTAGGTGTTACAAGAAGTTTTATTTAAATGTTTCATAGGAGCACCTAACTCAGTGAAAACCATTGCACCACAGTATAGACAAATGCCGGTTTAGGACAGATCAGATTTTAGGGAAATACTTATATCTCAGCGTATTTTTATAAAAATCTCTCTCTCTTATTACACTCTGGATGAATCAGTCTCTCTGGTCACTGCACATTTAGCCGAAGTTGCCTATTCCTATCGTATAAGCACCCCAGAACATTTGACAAGGTTCTGAATGATGCAAAGTGGAGGTAAGTTATGAATGACGACAAATCAAAACTGGCCATCTCCACTAATCCGCTGTTTATGATGATTATGATCAATATGATTGTGCCTCAGGTGCCTGCTTGTTCCAAGACGTGCGAGACAAAACATACTCTTAAGATAATCGGACCACAAACGCCGCTTCATCTCAAAATACTCCCATATCTGGTCTTTAATCGACCGATGTGGTTATACAGGTTGGGAGTACAGTCTCGGGAGCTATCAGCCACATAAAGACAACGAATTCCGCGAATTTCGACACAAGCACCATGTGGGACTTGAAAAGCTCGATTTTTCAGTGCTGGAAACATCTGAGGTCGATATGGTCTTAAATCAAATCAACCTACCACTTTGTCTACAGACCTTTGTGGCAAACCAAGCCCAATGTGTGCGATTCAATATTATTCTGCCGCCGCCAAAAAATGGAAAACACAGTAGGAAAACGACACGGGGATCTCAAACAAATAAAGTCAAAATGTAATAAATTGACGAATTCTGCGATGAGCGTTAATGGTTGGACACCTCACTTAAGTTCCACATTATAGAAACAATATTTATATTTATCACTTTATCAACAAAATAGTATATATCTCTCGTTAACTTCAAATCCATGCTTGTTTTCTGAATACTTATAGTAAATATCTTTACTTATATAGAAATGTGTATAAATTATAGTTTATATCGTTAAAAAAAGGACAATTAAAATAATAAAATCGCTATAAAGGTGAAATAGTGATGTACGACAATGACAGGTAGGTCGAGAGATTTCTTTTGTCAGTTTCGTCATTTTCACCTCTCGCGAGTTGAAGCTGGTGGGGCTCCCAGTCTCAGTATTTACCGGGACCTCGAGACCTCCAGACCCATTTCACACACCTCTTTGACGAACTATTCAACTAGTAGCCTTTCAACCGATAGATAACATTTTAAAATATTAGTTTTTACATTTATTCTGGTTCGTTTTTCCTCTAGGTCGCCGCGTAATAATGTGTCCTTCGCTATTAACTAGTAGATAGCTCGTCCTTGTGAGGTGTAATAAATATTATTGTTATTCGGTTGCAATATTTGAACAAATAGGAGAGAAAACGTTTCACTTTCGGCTTAACGGTCTACTTCTGATCCAAGGTGAAAGTCGTATTGTTAAGACACTTGTTAACTGTTATCGTCTCGTATTCAGTGCGTTTCTACAAGTGAAGTTTTATGCGTTGTTATTGACATCTTCTACCATTTCTTTTTTCGTGAATTGGTTGAAAACCGCTCTGGACCGTCCGAAAATGATCCAGAGGCGAAATTCGAAGCGGTTCATCCTCGGAGAGCTGGACGTAGGTCCTGCCAACACGTCCGGCGTCGAAATGATCCTCGATCTCGCAGAAGAGCCACGGACGGAAGAGACGGAAATCACCTCAGACACAGCTCTTGCCGGCGACGACTCGTTCGGTCGTCATCTGTCAGTCGACGCACCCCCGACGCTCACAGAAATTCAGAAATGGAGAAGTCCAAAATCACTCAAAGGACGAATCACGTAAGCAGTAAAAGAGTACATCTATGCAAATAATCCAACATGTTACGGATTAAACATTCTACTCATTGACAAGCTGCAATATATTAGCTTTACCATCACTACTACACTTTCATCTTTCAAATAAACGATGGTGTGGAATGCAGTCAAATAGTCCTATAAATAAAATAAAAAAGGGGCTAGTTGTTACCTACCAACCTGATCTCTAGTCGAGTCTAGATGTTACATTTTCATCACATTAAAAAAAAATGTTAAGTTTAGTTGTGATGTTTGCATTCCCAAAACCTGACCTAACAATGTCCTTTCAATTTTCTTTGATTGTCCTAAAAAATAGCTCAAATATTATTAATCTAATTAGGGTATCACATACAAGACGGAGGCAATAGAGTTTATATAGATATATTTTTTAAAATAAAGTATTTCGAATTAAAATATTGTTATCGTGATGGTTCCCATTCACATGAATCGTTGTCACTAATTGACCATGACCCACTCTCTTGCTAATTTTACTGATATGTGGATTTACATGATGAAGATTTTTTTAAATTTCCTATCGATTTTTGAATAAAATTATTTCTTCGAGGGTCCAAATTACATCAATCGTTGTCACTAATTGTTAATTTCAGTGTCATGTGGTATTACATGGTAGACTCTTTTTTTTTTACTGCTTATAGATTTTTGAATAAAATTATTTCTTCGAGGGTCCAAATTACATCATTCGTTGTCAATAAATGTTAATTTCAGTGTTATGTGGAATTACATAATAAAGACTTGTTTTGTACTGCTTATAGATTTTTGAATAAAATTATTTTTTCGAGGGATCAGTGTTGTGTGGTATTACATGATAGACTCTTTTTTTTTTTACTGCTTATAGATTTTTGAATAAAATTATTTTTTCGAGGACCAAATTACATCAGTCGTTGTCACCAATTGTTAATTTCAGTGTCGTGTGGTATTACATGATAAAGACTTTTTTTGACAGCTTACAGATTTTTGAAAAAAATTATTTCTTCGAGGGATCAAATTAATAACCGTTGTCACTAATTGTTAATTTCGGTGTCGTGTGGTAGTACATAATAAAGGCTTGTTTTTTACTGCTTATAGATTTTTGAATAAAATTATTTTTTCGAGGGACCAAATTACATCAGTCGTTGTCACCAATTGTTAATTTCAGTGTCGTGTGGTATTACATGATAGACTTTTTTTGACAGCTTACAGATTTTTGAAAAAAATTATTTCTTCGAGGGATCAAATTAATAACCGTTGTCACTAATTGTTAATTTCGGTGTCGTGTGGTAGTACATAATAAAGGCTTGTTTTGTACTGCTTATAGATTTTAGCAAACAAAATTTCTTCAAGGGATCAAATTAATCAATCGTTGTCACTAATTGTTAATTTCCGGGTCGTGTGGTATTACATGATAAAGATACTGTTTATAGCTTTTTGAATAAAATTATTTCTTCGAGGGATCAAATTAGTAATCGTTGTCACTAATTGTTAATTTCGGTGTTGTGTGGTATCACATGGTAAAGACTTTTTTTTAATTGCTTATAGATATTTGAATAAAATTATTTCTTCGAGAGACCAAATTACATTATTTGTTGTCACTATTTGTCAAAGTCACAACTCGTGTTAATTTTACTGTCATATGGTATTACCCGATGAAATCATGTTTTTACTGCGTATAGATTTTCGTATATTATTTTATTTTGTGGATTCCATTTACATAAATTGTTGTCACTAATTTTCAGTCTTAACTGTTTTTTTTGTGTTAATTTCACTGTTGTGGTATTGCAGGGCGAAGGCTAGTTTGTAAAAAGTGATTGTAGATTTGAGAATAATTCCTTCCAGAACCCAAATTACATTAATCGTGCCATTTTTTTAAACCAAAATGTAATATGCAATTGTCTTTAAAGTATTAAAAAAAGTGGCTGAAACGTGGCTACAAATACAAACTATAGTTCTATTTTGGGTTTAAAAAAAGCTACATAATAATTAATTGTTTCTTAATTTTCGTGTCGTGTGCTATTACTCGATGAAGGCATTTGTAAATGGTGTTTTTAGTTTTTCTTACATATTCTTAACTTTCTAAAGTATATTTAGCATATGACTGGAAAAAACCACTAAAAAGGCTATATAAAACCTCTTCCGATTGCCAAAAATACGTAGAAAAAAAAATTAGAAATGATTTTTCTTCTTCCTTTGTAACTTTTAAAAGTGGAAAAGATAATTAGGTAGGGATCACTGTTATCGTTACGGGATGACAACAACGACGAGGACCCGATCATCCGATGACATTACTTCTCATATCTTCATTTGACATTTAAAATCTTTCGTAATTGATTACTATTAAAAAATAATAAAAAAATAAAAAGGCGACATGGTTGATAGGCGAAAAAGTCGTTTTACACCACCGATATTCGTCCATTGCATTTTATCAATGCAAAGCGAGCAAAGTTACCGTGAAGATAAATCGCCGATTTGTCAGAATAGACACAAGTCGTTCTCAACTTCATAACATCAGCTGGTTGAAGTTTTTTGTGTAAAATTCGGCGTTCCGAATTCTTATAGAGTCGTTTGGTTTCGTAACTCTGACAAATGTTTACAGTCGATTGCATCATTTTAAGTGGACGATACCTTTAATTCATCTCTACTTTCTCCACTATCCGGTTTAAAAAAACAAAAACAAAAAAATCGAGTAAAAGAAAATGTTTTTTGTACGCCTTAACACTTGACCTTCGTACGACTTAGAGAGTGAAACGACCATTCAGTAATTGATAAATCAATATAAGACTATCGCCTTTCATATGATGCAGTCCTTCTGCCCACGTGTTTGCATGTGGAACGCTCTTTTTTCCTCCAATATTTTGATTCGATTTAAGGGGGGAGACCCGTTGAAACACGACACAGATACGATATTTATCCTGTATTTGACATCGATTTAATAAAAATGTCTGGTTTTGTTAAATTGTCTAGGCCCAGCATGTCTCAAGGGACAGTGATACATCAAAGGCAGCTGGAAAAGGATTTCACCGTCGCAACTCCAGAAGAATTCGTCAAAAGATTCAAGGGCACAAAAGTTATTAACAAGGTAACGAACAATCACCTCGAACCATGTTTAAAATTGAACGACAGTGCTATTTCCGATTTATGCAATAAAGTCAAACAAACTTTTAAAACACTGTTAAAAATATGAAAAGATAATTTAACTAGAATAACACATGTGAAATATCGTCCAGAGATTTTTGGGTCAATGAACCTGTAGTTTGGTCGTTTTTGACAATGCAAAACAATAATAATCATGACTAATAAATTATACAACAAACTTGCATGTGATGTGTCATTTCTTGGATGATTGTCAAATAGAGTGGTCTGAGAAAACCTTGACCTTTATTTCTCAGACCATATAAAGGAAATTATTAAAAAGGGTAGGGTAGCTGCTAGGGTCTTATTTCCACCGATGCCCCGTAGCTCCGACAGTCAAATTTTAAATCCCACCTTGTTCTATGCATGCCCTGCCTGGAACTACACGTGCATCACAAATATTGAAAAAATACAGGTGGCGTAAAATAAATTATTAAGGCTTTTCACCACCTCACCTCGAGGCACTAAAATTGCCCGGCTACATGATCAAATGGGATTGAGCTGGGTAAAAGATGAAATCAAACGCCGCACTGAAATTTTTTAAAAATAGTAATGAGAGTATAAAGATCCCACATGTCGAAATACAGGCACAACCTTCATCCATGGAAGCAAAGGAGAATCAAACATATCCTAATGTTTAACTTTCATGAACTTTTTCATTGACTTACTTATCAATTTATTTATTGTACATATAATGTATTTTGTAGTAAATTGTTAAATAAGTTGTTACTGTGATTACTATTGTGGAATTTAATATTTATACCTATTGTTTGTTATTGTACATATGCCTAGTTTTGGTCTTAAGCTCTTTATGATATTAATTAATTTATTGAATTAATTAAGCACATAACATACCTGATAGCAAAAATTCTATCTGGAGTAGAACTAATTGTCATTAAACAAGATAACTGTGCATAAGCACAGCAACAGTAGGAACGCTATTTGCTATAATTTTGCGTAATCACAGCAGAGAGTACCATCTACCATTTTTTTAAAAAGAAATAGCTGTGTACTGGTGCTGTTCTTTTATATAAACAATATCTTTATGACAAATTTCTCATGATCATGGCTGTTTATTATTGTGAATGTAAACAGGGTGTCCTTTTTAGATGGCCTGGCCGAATTTTTCTTGAACAGATAATTTTATCGAAAAACCAAAAAATATGTTTTAATAATTTTAGTCTAATTTTAATTTTTTATTACTTTTTTAAATATTTGTTATCAGGATATGTCAAAGCAGTATAACATTGAAATGAGAACGTATTCCACTGTTTTAAAGGATTTTTTACACTGACATTGATGCACAATCAGATTTTAAATTGATCAAAGAATAAAAAGTCATGACCCAGAATGTGAAAAGAAATATCTTAATTTCATTTTTATTATTATTTTCAATAAGTAATTTGTTTGTTACTTTTAATATAAATTCTGTGCTTTTTTAAATAGGTAATTTTTAACGCTAATGTGACGTAAAAAACATAAAATATTAAAACATTCTAATGAAGCAGGAATTAAACCTGTGTTTCATAAGTTCACGCTCAAACTGGCTGTCCCATGCCTAAAATGCAAAGATTTTTTTTTAACTTCCCTTTGCTCTGGTGCTCAGTGTGATGGATTCCAGAGAGACGGATTAATAGGCAACTTCTCCCCATTGTTGAACTTATTCAACTGGTTTGTAGGGTTATAGACAGCATAAACAGGTTTAAAAAAAAAGCTCTATAAGCAATAATCCAACAGAGTTAGATTGGTTGTGCGAGGGGACCAACAGATGGGATCGCCTTGGCCCTCTCCACCTATCCCGGTAGTGCCAATGTAAATAATTTCTTACTTGCAATGAATGTGTGCAGGACATTCACCAAGCTGGAGTATCATTCTTTGGCATACCAGCTGTGGAACATCTAAATCAGCGTTAGTAAATCCTATTGGAGAAAATTCAGAAACTGAGCATTTAATAGAATAGCTTTGATAGAAATAAGGATCAACTAACTGATTTCCCAGGAGTCGGCACCAAACATTTATGCTATTAACAACTTGGTGATTACATGGATACTTGATTCGGGGGTTACCTGTGCCCACATTCTAAACTTCCAGCAATTGAGAATAGTGAATATTTTCTTCTGTACCTAAATCAAAATCTATGAAAGGAACATTTACTCTCTATCAAAATCAGTGTCTCGAAGCCCTTGGACAAGATAAGAGCTATATATTTGTCTATACATACAGTGTGAATTTAACTTTGGTTCCTCTCCCCCTATATTTTTTGGGTGCTTTGGAGAAAAATTCTTCGGGATGTAAAACTTGGATTTTTTTACTAGTTTCTCATTAGACTAAACGTTTTGATCTAACTCTTCAACCTAACAGGATGGAAATACGAGCTTAACTATTTCAAACAGTGTCCTATCATTTAAAATGAAAAATAAATAAATTGATGATTAATTGAAGAAGTTGAAGATTTTGGTTTTTGCATTTATTAGGTTTCGTGGTCCACTTGACCAAATAAATTCTTTTCAATTAATTAATATTTAATTACGTTTTTTTTTGTGTGAAGATTTTAAGAATGTACATTGATGACGTTTTGCCATCTGCAATAGTCTCATTCTTTCATTCTGAAGAATTATAGTTATAGTTAATTTTAGGCTCATGACAAACTAGACCAAAAATAAAAGTTTACACGCCTTAGGGGTTTTCCCAAAATACTTCAATAAAGAAACAACAACAACAACAAAAAAAACAAGGGAAACCGAAGTTACTCACATAACAAGGCAATCATATTGACAAACTAGGGATTGGCTCTCATCTTTTTTTTATCTCTTATGAAATTAGCTAATTATCTATTGATCAATAAAACTGCATGTTATATTATTTATTATATCAATTTATTAATATTTAAAAAAACGTTGTACAGGTTTTAATTGCAAACAATGGTATTGCGGCCGTTAAATGTATGCGATCAATTCGGCGATGGTCGTATGAAATGTTTAAAAATGAGAGAGCAATTAGGTTTGTTGTTATGGTCACCCCAGAAGATCTTAAAGGTAATTATAAATAAATTTAATAAATATTTAATTTTCAGTATACCTGAATTTAATGTTTAATATATTTTTTAATAAGCAAATGCTGAATATATAAAAATGGCTGATCACTATGTGCCGGTGCCAGGAGGTTCAAATAACAACAATTACGCAAATGTTGAGCTTATTGTTGATTTAGCTATTAGGACACAAGTTCAGGTATAGTTATTCGACTTGACAGTTTAAATTATTTGATTTAACAAATAATTGATTGTAGGCTGTCTGGGCTGGATGGGGACATGCTTCAGAAAACCCAAAACTGCCAGAACTTCTGCATAAAAATAATATTGCCTTCATCGGTCCTCCTGAGAAGGCTATGTGGGCCTTGGGTGATAAAATTGCTTCTAGTATTGTAGCACAAACTGCTGAAATTCCCACTCTCCCTTGGTCTGGATCTGGTGTGTGACAATCTCTAACATTAATTTATTTAACTTTTGTTTTACATATTTTTTTATGTTTTCTGTAGAATTGAAAGCGCACTACTCTGGTAAAAAAATTAAGATTAGTTCAGATTTGTACAAAAAAGGCTGTGTATCGAATGCAGAAGAAGGCTTAGCTTCTGCCCAGAAAATTGGTTTTCCTGTAATGATTAAGGCTAGTGAAGGTGGTGGAGGAAAAGGAATCAGGAAAGCCGAGACTTCTGAAGAATTTCCTAGTCTCTTTAGACAAGTCTGTTCTTTTTACCTTTTTACAATCAATTACAATAAAAATAGCATCAATTTATATAATTTAATTGTTAATCTAATAATGACATTCCTAAGGTTCAATCTGAAGTTCCCGGGTCGCCAATATTCATTATGAAACTTGCTACATGTGCTCGCCATTTAGAAGTCCAGCTTCTTGCGGATCAGTATGGCAACGCTATCTCTCTTTTTGGAAGAGATTGTTCAATTCAAAGAAGGCATCAAAAGATTATAGAAGAGGCACCAGCAGTTATTGCCAAGCCTGAAGTTTTTGAAGCTATGGAAAAGGTATATAATGCACTACATATGTTAATTTAGAATAAATTGGCATTCAGTACAAATCTTATAATCAAAAATTAAAATGATTAATTATTTATTATTGAAAATTTTGATTTTTGGTTAATCTATTTGTTCCAAATATTCTGTTAAAAATTTCTTCTGTATCTGTACATTCAGTTTTTCTGAGACCTATGTTCTCTTTTCTTGTGGGTGGTAGCGGTGGCTGAATTCTTTTCTAAAAAAAATCTAATTGGTTGCTGCTTTAATCCAAAAAAGAAAAAACAAAAATTAAAGTTACTTTAATTATAACTGAAACAACGCATTAATGTGTCTTGCTTGTAAAGAAATGTTACTCGATGTTTCATTGAAATAATGCTTTGGTACAAAACAGCGAGTACGAATGCTATTTGATATGAAACTGTACTTGTCCGTCATAGCAAGTCCCTGTTTGTACTTTATATGTTCCACGTGTGGGGCTTGAAATGATCTAGCAGTTGATAGCCCTAGAACCAAACTTCACAAAATTTAACCTTTTATTACCCCCACATCACAATGTTTAATTCTCACACTAATTAAATAAAGTAAATTAAAATAAGGATATAATGTACGGAGGCATCCTAAATGTTTCTTAGTTGTGAGGTTTTATACAGACATGAATTCGTATATGAATTCACAAAGTAGCCTCGGCCAAGGTAAACTCTGAACCTAACCTTGGGGTTCTGCCTATTTGACGTTAGATTACAGTGGTAATTGAATTCTCTGTACCATCTATTAAATGTAATTGGTGGGAGGGAGGCAAAACTTAACAAATGACTAGAAACAGGATGAAAGAGAAATTAAATGAAAAAAGGTTTACATAAGCAAGAATAGAACTTAAAAAAAATAAATAAATAAAACAATTCACTATTTTTCGTGGTCCACTTGACCAATTAATATCATTCAATTAATTCAAAAATTGACCAATTAATTGAAAAATGGCAAAAAGGTATAGTTGATAGCCCAAGTGGTAGAGTAACGGCATATCAAGCTGAAGGGTGAAGGGCATGGGTTCGAATCCTGCTCGTGACAACTTTTTTAGCTCAACTAAAAACCTTAATTAATGGAAAATAAAACAATGTTGAACAATATTACTATGAAAAGAAATTGGTGAAAAATAAGTCACACAAAAAAAAAAAAAAACAAAAAAAAAACAATACATATTACTACATATTTAATAGTACTGAATACAAATTTTATTTTGATCTCATTGAAAAGAATGATAGGGTAAGCTTGCATGTCTGATTTTTTCCTTGGCAATTTAAAAATTACCTCAAAAACCATTTGATTTATTCAGATGGAGCTGTATGAAATTGGAAAATTCTTGCTCTTATAGGAAATTGTAATAATTACGCATCTACGCTGCTACAAAAATCATATATTTTTTAATAAATATATATAGAATCACATGTAACTAACAACGCAATGCTACGTAAAGCAGAACCAAATTTAAAAAAATTAAAAATGCCCCATAGCCATGGTTCATTCTGGGAAAGTATGCTGAAAGAATTGATCAGGTCTGTGTCCAAATCAGGACAAATAGATAAAACAGGGATTATGCTCTCTACCTCTATTAAATTAAATCAGGGGCATAGTTGATTAGAAAAGCCTATAATAAGGAAAATTTTTTCTGCTGGCTAAAAATCAACTGTATATTGCTAACTGTATATTCTACTTTTAATATGATCTAAGTTAGAAGATAATAGAGTATATGTTGTGAAATGGTCCTGGTCTGGCTTTTATTTCATTTTCAACATCATTAACATCTACATAATTTGGTTATTGGTTGTTACCAAAACTTGACCTACTTTTGGACAATGAACTCAAATGTTATATATTATATTATGCAGGGTGGGCGACCAAGACCCGAGGGGTTAAATGCCTGGGTAGACTCGTACCCCGTCCCAACTTAAATGTTAGACACCTGTCCACTGAATCAAAATGGTCCCATTGCACAAAATATATCGAATCTGAAGCAAGTAAAAATTCCAAATAGTGTTTTTTTTCTCATTGTAATAAGGAGTTTGTATTTTGCTAAGAAGGGCAAAGAATTTGAAATTAATTATTTTGATGTACATGTTGAATAAATGTTGTGTATTTATTGTCCTTGTTATTTATTGTTGTTGTTGTATTATGGTTATCCATATTAAAATTCTGAAGGTTTAAACAAATCAATTGAATTTACAGGCAGCAGTAAGACTTGCTAAAATGGTCGGTTATGTTAGTGCCGGAACTGTTGAGTATTTATACGACACCGAGGGATTTTATTATTTTCTCGAATTGAACCCAAGACTTCAGGTGGAGCATCCATGCACAGAAATGGTCTCTGATGTTAACCTGCCAGCTGCTCAACTTCAGGTATAATATTTACAAAAATATTTAATAGAGACAATGGATACAATTGTAAATTAGTTAAATTACATTTTGCAAAATTCACAAACACAACTGCGGTATAACACCATTGGAGTCACTCTTTCACATGCATACTTCCTTTCATACAATTTATATATACGCCAATTTTTTTTATATTTTTATTTTGATATGTTGAGCTATTGCTAAGTTGAGGTTATTTATGTTTAATGTTAGGTTGCTATGGGTTTACCTTTACATAGCATAAAAGACATACGAGTTTTGTATGGTGAGTCACCATGGGGTGATTCTTTGATTGATTTTGATGAACCCAGGCATAAACCACAACCTTGGGGTCATGTTATAGCTGCAAGGATAACGAGTGAAAATCCAGATGAAGGTATGAAACTAGAAATAATTTTCATTTTAATTTCTATCCATTATACACGTTTCTTGTATAGGTTTCAAGCCCAGTTCTGGAACGGTACAAGAATTGAACTTCAGATCTTCAAAAAATGTTTGGGGATATTTCAGTGTTGCTGCCTCTGGTGGTCTCCACGAATATGCCGATTCTCAATTTGGTCATTGTTTCTCATGGGGAGAAAATAGAGAACAAGCTAGAGAGTAAGAATAATTATGTTGGTACAATATACTTAATTTTATAGTTATTCTTAAGAAATTTTTTTTATTTTGTTAAATAGTCAAATAGAACAAATAAAATAATTATTATTAAAATAAAAAGGTAAATGAACTTCCATAGAAAGAAGTTCTTTCTACATAAAAAATAGAATAATTTTCCAAATAATCCAAAATTATAAATAATATATGTTGGTTTGATTGAAAACCAATTTCCAGATTGTTCACTATTTCTTATTTCAGACTTATTAATGCACCAGTGGGTGTAATTAGCTATCACAGGATTTCAAGTATTTTCTTTTCTTTTCTTTTCTTTTTTTAAGGAATTTAGTAATTGCACTTAAGGAACTTTCAATCCGAGGTGACTTTAGAACAACAGTTGAATACCTCATTACTCTTTTAGAAACGGAGTCATTTCAAGTAAACATGTCTTTAATTTTCATAACATGAACAAATATAACTTTATTTAATTAATTTTAGTTAAATACGATTGACACTGCTTGGTTGGACATACTAATAGCTGAGAGGGTTCAGGCTGAAAAACCAGATGTTCTATTAGGAGTTATTTGTGGTGCCTTACATATTGCCGATCGAAAAGTCATCGATGCATTTTCAAGTTTTCAAAATTCAATGGAAAGGTTTTTGTCAATTTCTAATTTGTAATCTTGATAATTGTGGTAATCAATGAATCCCGGTTATTTTAGAGGACAGATTCAAGGATGCAATACACTCGATCATATCGTAAACGTAGAGCTGATCCATGATGGGTATAAGTACAAAGTGCAGGCCACTAAATCTGGTGCAAACTCGTATTTCCTTGTGATGAATGGGACTTTCAAAGAGATTGAAGTTCACAGATTATCTGATGGAGGTAAAAACATTTAAAAGAATGCAGTTTTTTCATGCTTTTAAAGAGCATCCACAAAAATTGTCAACAATCTAAATGAAAAACTTAATTATATAATTACTTAATTAATTCTACATAATTTGTTCTAAATGAAAAATTTGTGTCCCAGGCGGGATTCGAACCCACGACTTCGGCTAAATATGCTACTGCTCTACCACTTGAGCTACCATCACTTCGATTGCCCATACCACAAACTTCCCATTCTGACTCCCCATTTATTCCAATTGTAATCAAATCACGGCAAAAAATTGTTTATAATTAATTGAGTTATATAATTAAAAATAAGCTGATAATAATAATTAAAAGTTAGTATTAATTTAGAATCACACCAGTGAATCATACACAGTCCCGCTAATGTAGTTCAATCGTTAATAGAAGTGAGTGTTTCTTTCTATATGAAGCCGCGATTTGCTTACAATTGGTATAAACGGGAAGTCAAAATGGGAAGTTTGTGGTGATCGAAGTCACGGTAGCTCAAGTGATAGAGAGGGCCGTGTATTAGCCGAAAGTCACATGGGTTTGAATCCCACCTGACAAATTTTTCATTTCGAAAAAATTAATTGAGTAATTATTTTTTATATACATTTCAGTAGTTTCAAGTTTCAATAATTATGTTAATTAAAATCGTATTATATAATCAGAATATTAACATGTTCATTGTGTCCTATGCTTGCCCATTTTGCTTACTCTTTGGTACTTAACAATAATGGAAATGATTTTTTTGATATTTGTCTAAATTATATAAATTGTACAATGCATCAGTTGCGTCTCCTGCAGGGCTAAAGTAAATGAAGTAGACAACCAATAAATATCATTTGTTCAGTTTGGGTGTGTAATTGAATAAAAGTCATTTCAACTTTCTACAATAAATTTTTCTTTATTTTTGTAATAATACAAAATTGGCAAATAATTAAAATAACAAAACACTACAGAGAAAATCAAATTAATTAATTTTCACAGAATAAATAAAAAAATCATTTCGAGCATCCTTAGGAATTTCAAACAGAATTGGGTAGTGGGTGAAGTGGAGGACGAGTTAAAAAAAAATAAATAAATGGGAGAACGCAGACTGGCCACCACACCCGAAAGTTGTCGTGATGCACAATTTGAGTTTTACGCAATCAATGTGTTAAACGAGGCATCCTTGATTACATACATTTTTTTGATTTTTGTCTGCTTACAGTTTTCCTTCATGCACTCCCTTTAGTACAAGCTTTGTATTCAATTGATAATAATTTCAAATTTTCTAATAAGATTTTCAAATTTTCTAATAAGATTTTATGCAAATTATAGGTATATTACTTTCTCTCGATGGATCCAGTTTCACAACTTATATGCGAGAAGAAGTAGATCGTTACCGAATTGTTGTTGGTAATCAAACTTGTGTATTTGAAAAAGAAAATGATCCTTCCCTTCTTAGATCTCCTTCTGCTGGAAAGCTTCTCAGTCTAATTGTCGAAGACGGGGGCCATGTTAACAAAGGCCAAACATATGCTGAAATTGAGGTGTGTTTTTAAAGTTACATTCTAAAGGAAAATAAATGTATTCATAATAGAAAATTCAACATTTGTTTATACGTTGATAATAACGTTTAAAATATTATATTTGATTTGATTGTGGGTTTATTTCAGGTGATGAAAATGGTTATGACACTTACAGCATCAGAAGCCGGAACTATTATGTATACTAAAAGACCTGGTGCCGTACTTGATGCTGGCACTGTCATTGGACATTTAGACCTTGATGACCCTTCATTGGTTACAAAAGCACAAGATTATAAAGGGTTGTTTCCTGAATTGGACGTTTCCACACCTACTGTTGGTGATAAATTAAATCATAAACATAACCATTATAGGCAGATGCTCGACAATATTCTAGCAGGTAAGCAGTGTAATTTAATTTTGAGTATATCACAATTAATTTGGATTTTCCAGGTTACTGTTTACCGGAGCCGTATCATTTAATGAGGTTGAGAGAAGTTATTGAGAAGTTTATGTCCTCACTTCGAGATCCTAGCCTACCTTTGCTCGAGTTACAAGAAGTTATTGCTTCAATATCAGGAAGAATTCCTTTGTCGGTCGAAAAGAAAATTAGAAAATTAATGACGCTATATGAAAGAAATATTACGTCAGTCCTTGCTCAATTTCCTAGCCAACAAATTGCAAGTGTTATTGATAGGTAAATCTTCAGTTATAATTTAAAAAAATTGTAGATATCAATAATTAATTATGAAGTATAACGGAACAAACGTTTTCTATACAATTACTATACAGAATAAACAACATAATCCATTTCTTCTATAAAATTAGAACAAAATATTTCAATTACTTAATTTATTTAAAATTGAAACGACTGATTACTGATTTATAGTCTGCACATGCATGTACATACATACATACATATTTGTACAAAGTTGAGTCTATCACTTCTTGCAGTCCACTGGCAATTCCAGCTTTTGTAATTTACAATAAATTACCAGCAGGCATTGAGAATCACTTACCCCAGGTTTTGGCAGTCCAGGGTCAGACCTCAGTCTTACTGTACAGCCACTGAGGGTGGGCTCCAAGGGCTATCAACGGCTAGGTCATTTCAGCCCCCAACGCAATCAGTTTCCTAATTCAAAACCATTCACACTCTCCCTCACTCTTAAATGTGGTGTGTGTGCCAAAACTGACAATTAGCTGAGGAAGGCATGCACGAACTATTGTTGCTCGGTGAATAACGAAGCACCCATCCCCTCTAGTTGGGATTCGGCGAACCTTTGCTCGGGGTTTGGTGAATCCCGCATGTCTGAAGCCACCTTTAAATAACTAATATAATTGAGGGTCAATGTAGTATTCAATATTCCTTCATAGGCCCTATCGCACTACACATTCATGCTAATAAATACAATCACTCAATATACCCAAAGAAACACAAAACAAGTTATCTTTAAAGTACTATAAACAATAAAACAGCCCTGTTTCCTTTAAAAATAGAAACAAGGGACACAAATACTTTTGTTGTGCTCAAGCACACTTCTCATTTTGGTTGGAATTCCTACACTCTCCCTAAATGGAGCCAAGGCGTGGCACCCTTCAATTAAGTGGAACACATCGAGCACCTTTCTCCACTTAAAATTGAAATGTTTTTATAAAAGATTTTTAAATAAATTAAAACTATGGCAAAATGTCAGTGTGGATAGCAATGTTGATATTTAAAAGAAATAATCAAAAAATTATACTTACTAAAAGTAAAATAATACTTAACGTATTTTTATTTAGCTTAAGTTGATTTTTTCTTTATTAGTCATGCAGCGACTCTTCAAAAACGTGCGGATAGAGATAACTTCTTCCTAACTACTCAGGGAATCGTGCAGCTTGTTCAGAGATACCGGAATGGAATTAGAGGAAGGATGAAATCTGCTGTACATGAACTTCTCAGGCAATATTATGACGTTGAAAGCCAATTCCAACAAGGTATTGTAAAATTTTAAAACTATTAAACTTCTTATTTAATTTGTTGTAAACATTGAAGAGCCAATGTCTTTATAGGTCATTATGACAAATGTGTAACTGCGATCAGGGAGAAACATAAGGATGACATGGCTGCAGTAACATCGACCATATTCTCCCATGGACAAGTAATGAATTAATAATTTTTATCTTTTCGATAATGGTTTAAATGTGATTTATTTATATCAGGTTGCCAAGAAAAACATGCTTGTAACAATGCTTATCGATCATCTTTGGTCAAATGAGCCAGGACTTACAGATGAATTAGCCAGTACACTTAACGAATTGACATCGCTTAACAGAAGTGAACATTCTAGAGTAGCCCTTAGAGCAAGACAAGTACGACTACACCTTTTTTCACCAAATAAAATACAATTTATATTACATTTATATTGTTTACAGGTTTTAATAGCCGCTCATCAACCAGCCTATGAATTGAGACATAATCAAATGGAGTCTATTTTCCTTTCGGCTGTAGACATGTACGGCCATGATTTCCACCCGGAAAATCTTCAAAAATTAATTCAGTCTGAAACATCCATTTTTGACATTCTTCATGATTTCTTCTATCATACCAATCGTGCAGTTTGCAATGCTGCACTGGAAGTAAGTTTATCCATATTTATACTTGAAAAATAAACGTTAATAATAATTGTTTAAAGGTTTACGTGAGGAGAGTTTACATTTCTTATGATGTAACTTGCTTGCAACACCAAGAGCTCAGTGGAGAAGTGCCACTTGTCCATTTTCAATTCCTACTACCATCTTCACATCCTAATAGGTATTTATATTAAAATACATTGGTTTTATTGTTAAGCTTTTATTGATCATCTGCACCATCATGTATACCATGTAACCAGAAGAGTTGTGCGAGTTTTCATTGGTTATTGTTTTAATGCCGTTACATTTTTAGTTACATAAGAGCATTAGGTATTACATCACGTAATACCAAGAGGATAATGTGCCAGTTCATAAAGAAAAAGTGTCTTGAACTGTTTACTGAAAATTATAAAATATTTTCTTTCTCTTGGTTTTAAGATCTATTTCATACATGCTTATTAAATACATTTTAGCTCGGTAGGGCAGCCGAGGCAGCTCATAAAATTTGCTCTGCATTCGGTGATGAAACGTGGTTCGAAAGTTTGTTTGTGGTAATGAAGGGATTGAAGATTAACCATGGTTTGCTAGACCTGTCTGTCATGTTGAGGGAAGTTATCGAACTTGATTCGAGTCTAACATGTCTGAAGCTTGCCAGCGTGTTCAACGAAAGCGAATGATTTGTTCTAGTTTACATCGACTTGGGAGACTTGGAAGCTGAGCAATTGGGTTCCTGAAACAGACAGAAACAAGCTTTAGTGTCTAAATGTTTATCTTTCTTTGCTTTCACAGGACAATGCTTTTGTCCAGATTGTCACATGCAACGAAAACTTTGTACAGTAATAACAGGTCGTACCATTGGATGTCACTAAATGATCTTATATCATTGACGTGAAAACTAAATATTCAACAACCATCACCACAAAAGATGTTGCTTTGTGATTGGTGAAGTACGGCAGGCACTGTGTACCATGAACGCCAGACCATCAACGTGAAATTCTGCAATGAGTAGATTTCTTACCACGTCCCAGAAATATCTGTTTTTGTGAACAGAAAATGTAATTTTCCAACAGAACAATGCAAGACCTCTTACAGCCAGAACGACATAGATGATAATGAAGCTTGGTAGAGAGACCTACCACACTCTTCGTACTTGCTAGACTTGGCCTCATCTGACTTTTTACCTTTTCTTAGCAATGGACAATAGTATGTCTTAGCATGAGTTCGATAATCGTCAACAGCTGGAAAATAAGTTGAATTTATTTTTTAAGTCACGGTACCCAAACTTTTATACAAAAGGCATAACTGGGCTAACTCGTTGAGGTGGGATAAGCATATAGAAGCCGATGGAGACTATTTCCCCGAATAAAATATTTTATCAAAGGTTTGGATGTGATGTTCAGTCAAATTCTTTCTCTACTGACGTTTTGGAAAGGGGGCCGTGGTAGCCGAGTGGTTAGTGTGAAAGACTCGGCTCCTAGACCCTACGGACATGGGTTCAATTCCCGCCGTCGCCTCTTGGCATTTTTTCACAGTACCCTTCCCCCCAAAACAAATACGCATAACATATTGTCTGGCATTGGCCAATATGCATAGTACATGAAGCCATTAAAAAAGAAAAAAAAGAAAAGACATTTCGGAAAATATATTTCCTTTTTCAAGGCTCAGTCGTCTACAAACGAAAGACCAAAACAAAAACATTCTTAAAGTTAAATTTTACAAACAATATAAAAGGTAGTCTCGGCAGAGAAAGAATAATTTGCTTTATTTTATCCCTGACCGAATATACCAACCAAATCTTTGATAAAACATTGAAAACACGGCCATTTATTCATCAAATAAAATATTTCTAAACTAATTTTATTTGTGACAATCATTAAAACCTTTAAACTACATGAACTTTTCTGGTTACCTAGGATCTATAGATCTTGAACTAGACCTTAAAAAAACAGTTGTGCTTTGAAATTGACTATTTCTAATTTGTTACTGTCTCAATAAGTTGTGTCATTTTTAGTTGATGCTCTTTAATGTTTTATTTAAACAAAAAATAAATAAATAAAATAAAAGTACAATTAGAGATATTTAGTTGCATTGTCATGAATGTTGGTTTAAGTTATAGTTGCTTAATAACCAATTAATTAAAATTACCAGTGTGCCAGTTAATATAATTAGAATGGAATAAACAGAAGTAAATGTTTATTGTTCTTATTTTTAAAATTTTTTTCGAGGGTTTGCAACAGCAGAGGTCATATCCCTCAGGGTATCGGTGGTTTTGAAAAAAGCTCGTTTGAATGTCAGGTTTGAATGCAGGGCTGCCTGGATTCGAACCGGGACCTTGACCTTACAGTGATGAGCACTGTGTCACATTGCCTTAACCGTTGCGGCCACCGATGCCCCGAATATAAGTTTGTTACAGGTGGAAGAAGTGTGTTGTTGTTATCACTCTGAGTTTTCTTTTACGGATTCATTTATTACTTGAATTTTGTATTTCTTAAATGGTGTCATTCTTTTTAATTTCTGTGTTCTTTACAATAGTTGACGTAGTGACCACCAATGCCCCCCTAATGTTTACTTTGATGTTTCATTACTTTTAAATAATGCTTCTATTATAGTCCGTTAAAAGTTTAGTCAATTTTAAAGTAATGACACTTGTGATAAATTTGATCCAAAGAAAAATAAACTGCTATTTTTTATCTGTCAATGTGAAAAATATACATGTGATGCATGAGGAGGCATGACATATGACAGCTGACGAGTTGCAAATGTAATGGGACAAGGTCTCTTTCTTATTTTTGCACTCGGTCTCCTAAATTCTTACTACTGGATGCACACATTGGATGCATTCCTGCTGCTAATAATACTACTGGATTCAAGCATCATTTGAAATATACGATGATGTTAATGTTAAGGACATTTTTTGTATTTGTTAGTCATATAATTAGTATATTCGTAAATATATGTAAGCATTTCTTTTAATTAATGATTTCTATTCACAGGCAGAAGCTTAGTGATGTATCATGTGTTCCTGGTGGACCAACGATACTGCACAGCCCTCAAAGGACTGGTTGCATGGCTGCGTTTGATACGTTCCATTCTTTTGAAACTTACTTTGATGAGATTTTGGACATTTTAGAAGACTTCACCAATCCCGCTTTTGTATCTCCAAAATTAATTGAAGCTGTTGAAAATGCGACTGACTCGAAGAGCACATCTATTAATGTTTCACTAACTATGGGGGATGCACAGATTCCAGAGACTGAAAATATTCAGGTATGTAATTTTCTATAAAGTTGATTATTTGGTTTTAAAACTATTTTACAAACTTTTCTTAAATGTTCCCTTTCTACTGTGCAGTGTTGGCTCTTTCCTGCATGAAGACTTTTTTTTTTCTAAATTACATTTCACTTTTGTCTGACCATTATTTTACAATTTTTTATTTAAAATTTTTTATTACCCTTAGGTCGAACCTATACATATTATCTGTATTGCAATAAAAGACAATGGAGACATGGAAGATGTTAAATTGAGCAGGATGTTTGGTGATTTTTGTGCTAAACACAGAGAGGAGCTCATATCACATTCAATAAGAAGAGTTACATTCTTAGCACTTAATAAGTGAGTAAATAAAAAATAAAAATAATAAATATTTATTAATGGTGTTCGCCTTTTCTGTGATTTTAGGCGGCAATTCCCCAAGTTGTTTACATACAGAAACTGTGATAATTTTGCTGAGGATACAATTTACAGACATTTAGAGCCAGGTATGGCATTCCAGCTTGAATTGAATAGAATGAAGACTTACGACTTGGAAGCCGTTCCTACATCAAATAGAAAAATGTATCTTTACTTAGGGAAAGCCAAGGTAAATAGACAATTGTCAAGTTCAAAATTACTTGTTATGAGTTAGTGTTAAAATTTGGTAAAACTATCTCTACATTTTCGCATTCACACTACTTTATAACATAATGAAAAAAGGATTTTAAATTAAAATTAAAAGAAATTTTTGGAAATGATTTAGGGCATTCAACCAATTAAAATAGAATTTTTCCTGCATCATTTGGTTAAAGTATTTGCAATTTTGAGCTCCAGAAGTGCTAAATAAAATTTAAAATGTGACCAAATTTTTATTTATTTATTTTTTTTTATGTTTATTTTTTTATTGGCCTTATGATCTTGCATATTAGCCATGGTATGAATTCTTGCAAGTTCAAATTGGGGGTTATCGGGAAAAAAGGGCCAGAGGCGACGGTGGGAATCGAACCCACGACCGCGGCGTGAGAGTCTCTCATGCTAACCACTCGGCTACCGTGGTCCCCGACCAAAATTTTAGTTTTTGTAATTAAAAAATTATTTTCCTTATAAACTATATTTTTCTGCATCGTTTGTCACAACATATTTGTAATTTTGAGCACTGGAAGAGTTCCAAAAAGAATTTTTCATAATTTTGGCCAAAACGTTAATTTTTTTTGTAATTAATTTTTTTTAATTAAACTAGTTTTTTCTTCATTATTTGTTAAAGTAAGGCAAAGGAAGCACTCAGAAAGAATTTTTGAAAATTCTGCATACAAAAATTTTAATTAATTTTTTTTAAAAATTACACTAAATTTTTTGTGCATCATTTGGTGTAAAGGGTTTGCAATTTTAAACATCTAAAGTGCTTGATTTAAAAATTAAAATGTCTACATACATCAGAATGTGTGGTAGAAATGTAATGTGTCAATGTCGGCAGTACTGGCATCAATAAAACAATGTGTGAAAAAAGAGTGCTCAGAAAGTCGAAAATTGGCCATAAATAATAATAATAATAAAAAGAAGAAGAATAAGAAAAAAAAACTAGTGAAAAGTCACACTTTTGACCTTTTAATTTAACCAAGACAAAAGACCATAGTCTGGGTAAAGCGCTTTTTTAGAATAAAAAATTAGGACTGGAGGAAAAAGAATTGAATGATGATAATTAGGGGCAGATTTTTATGAAATGTTCAAATCAAATGTTCAACATTATTAAAAAAAATTCATAAAACAAAATTTCCAAAAAGCACCTCAACACATTCTTCATATTGGAGTACTTACTGTTTAGACCATTTTTTGTAATGCATTTTCAGACAGTTTATTAACTCCTCTCTGCTTCTTTAAACACAGCTTCATTAAAATTTATATCAAAATTTTCAAAAGAAGCCGTGAATAAAATGGTTCCAATTGTGTTGTGATCGGACTATTAGTTTGTGAGATGTTAATTGAAGAATTAGGAAAAAGTACGAAAATAAACCCTTAAAAATAATTTATAATTAACAGTGTATTAAGGTAGTTAAAGTTTACAGTTAATTCTTAGTGAATGTGGGGTAGAGTAATAATTGAAATAACATAATGAAATGAATATAAATTTTCAATTAATTATTTATTTTGTAGGTAGCAAAGGGCCAGTCTGTGACAGATTACAGATTTTTCATCCGATCCATTATCCGTCATTCGGACTTAATAACAAAGGAGGCGTCGTTTGAATATCTCCAGAATGAGGGAGAACGAGTGCTTTTAGAAGCGATGGATGAACTGGAAGTAGCTTTTTCACATCCTTTAGCAAGAAGGACTGACTGTAATCACATATTCTTGAACTTTGTTCCCACCGTTATAATGGACCCTGGAAAGGTGTGACATTTAATGTTACTCTGTAGATTTAGATAAATTGAAATTAAATTGAATGTTTTAAAGATTGAAGAAAGTGTGACAAACATGGTAATGAGATATGGGCCGAGGTTGTGGAAACTCCGAGTACTTCAAGCAGAACTAAGAATGACAATAAGGCCTAATCCTTCTGCGTCAACTACCAATATAAGGTTGTGCTTAGCAAATGACAGTGGCTATTTCTTGGAAATACACACATATAGAGAGGTTTTAGACCAGAAGAGTGGCGTGGTAAATAATTTACCATTAAATAATATTAATCTTTAATACATAAAGTTTTGTTAATTTATTTAATTTTAGATCAAGTTAGAAGCTTTTGGGCCCAAAACTGGGCCGATGCATGGCCTACCTGTGTCAACTCCCTACGTGACAAAAGATTATTTACAACAAAAAAGATTCCAAGCACAAAGCAGTGGTACAACTTACGTGTATGATTTTCCTGATATATTTAAACAAGTTCTCGAACGTCATTGGAAAGATTATTTACAACAAAGGCCAAATGGTAGTTAACCAGACGATTAATCCATTTCATTTCAAATACTGTTTAATCTATACATTTTAGAGCAAATAGTCGTTCCAACACCTGTCATAAACAGTGTCGAGCTGGTTGTCGAGGGAGATAACTTGATTGAAATGAAAAGGCTTCCTGGAGAAAACAATGTCGGAATGGTAGCCTGGAGGCTCACACTTTTCACACCGGAATATCCTGAGGGAAGAGACATAATTCTTATTGCTAATGACATTACCTACCTCATTGGATCATTTGGACCCAAGGAAGATATAGTATTTTGTAGAGCCTCAGAGCTAGCTAGGAAACTTAAAATTCCAAGAATCTACATATCTGTAAACAGTGGAGCAAGAATCGGTTTGGCTGAAGAAGTAAAAAGTCTTTTTAAAATAGCATGGGAAGACCCCGATTCACCAGATAAAGTAATGTTTTTTCCCTCTTTTTTTGTTAACTATAAATTGACAGTGCTGATACCTCATTAATAAATGTTAATCTTGTGTCAGGGTTTTAAATATGTATATCTCACAACAGAAGACTACACAAAAGTCTCTTCCATGAATTCTGTACATGCAATTTTAATTGAAGATGAGGGAGAGCCAAGATACAAAATCACAGATATTATAGGTATTGTTTGTTAATAATGTATTATAAAGTTTTAATGTTTATTTATGTTTATTTAATGTTTATAATTTATAAGTTTCAATAACTTTTAGGCAAAGATGATGGTTTGGGCGTTGAAAATTTAAGCCATGCAGGAATGATCGCTGGTGAAACTTCTCAGGCCTATAATGAAATAATTACAATATCTATGGTCTCTTGTAGAGCAATTGGTATCGGCTCTTATCTTGTTAGGCTCGGACAAAGGGTTATACAAATAGAAAATTCTCATATAATTTTGACAGGATACAGCGCTTTAAATAAGGTATTTTGGAAATATATGTGTCAATATTTGACAAAAATTAATCGTGTAAATAAATTTTATTTGTTAATAATGTGGTAGAATTTCTGTTGGAGAACTAGAATCACATACTAAGGCCAATTATTTCATGATGTTTCTGATTTTCCCTTACCACATTGTTTTATGATACGTTAAACTATAAGTAGTTTAATTTTGTCTTTAGTACTGTTTATGTCTGAAGGAAAATACACTAGGAAATTATTACTGGGGAAAGAAAAGAAACATTTTGCCTCTTACTAATGTAGATTTTTTTTTACTTCAATTATTTGTATGTACAACTGTACACGTATTATATGCAACCAGGAGATTGGATAATTAGTTTTGTGGCATTACGGGCGTTATAGAGAAAGCTACCCTGTGCAGGCAGCTGCTCTGAATTAATAAAATGATAAGAGGTCTCTTATCAATATTCTTTTCAGATGTTTACTTGGTAATTGGGGGGTAGAATTATTAAATGTTATAAAATGAATGAATGAAAAAGATCAACGTTTTTATTTAATTTTATGAAAAAATGAAATCAATATAATTAAAATGTAATAACCCATAAATATTGAAGTGAAGAGGTCTTAGTGGTACCTTACTAGTTTTTGTACATTTAGTTTAATAATTCTGACTTTGTGTCCGAAGCTTCTTGTTCAGAATCTAGTGTCCAGAAATTAGTCATTCTTATTCTGAAGAGGAAGCCTGTAGGGTTTGAAAATGCATCAAATGTAAACTTATATGAGCCCCATTGTTTTCGTTCAAAAACTCCAACATTCAGCATGTCAGCACAACAACCATGATATTAACAAAAAATATATTAACAATAACACTTCAATAATTTAAGCCTATATGGATTTTTTTTTTGAGTCTGGCAATTTGTGACTTAAAATTTTTGTCTATTGTGTCCAAGTTCCACTAATGGTTTTCTTGGAAAAAGCAGGCTAGATTTTCTTTCCTTGAGGTGAGGTGTATGTCTTCAACTTAATGCCTCCTCTACACAATCACCAACTATAGTTTTTCGGAAAGATGGCTGCCATCAAGGGGTGACTGGTCACTGGGGTCTGTTGATCTACAATAGGCTGTATAGATGGGCCATAGATACGGACATTTTTCCATATTTCGCTTTATTTTGATAAATAACTTTTGAGAAATGACTCCGTAACATTCTAAAAACCCGTATGGGTTTGTAGATGTTGTCTTCTTTGGCTTAACTTCTCACACCTTTTTATTTAAACAATCTGTGTGCTCTAAACAATCTTTATTTATATATATATATTTTTTAAAAATTCTTATTTTGTATTTATATTTACTCATAAAAACTGCGATTCATCCATCATTTACCTGCGAAAATTGTAGTAAACGAAAAAAACAAACAGGAACTGGAAAAAGTGAGGTTATTTTTCTACTTACTTTTGTACAATTCTATGGAATGGAATGTTTCTTCATTATTCCAGACTGTTATAATGGGACGTGGAAATTTCGTTTCTTTGTTCTTTTTTTCTTATTTTAGGATGTTTACAAAGCTTGGTTGAAGTAGAAACATGGGCATGGGTGGATCTTATTGCTCTCCTTGTTTGCGAAGGCTAGCTTGCTTTGTTTTAAGAGGAAAAAACCATTCCCAAAGACTTTTGGCCACCACACGCCAAACTACCCTCCTCACAATGGTGATTACTTGTCGAGGCTGATGATGGGCCATTGTGTAAAAAGGGGTATTAAAGGTCTTTTGTATAGGTTGGAAAATTCCAAGGGTTATGCTGAGGTTCGAACCAAGGCCCGTTAGCTTGGCAAGTGCAGAGTCAGGCACTAACCACTTGGCCACTGCAGTCCCCTAAGCGGATAGTTAAATCTGAAAAATCTGACATTGTTATGACAACAGTAAATTAATAGTAATTAATCATAAAATGTGCTTGATCTGTCTTTGAAAGGTCCTTTGTGGATCTTTATTATGCTCTTGCTGGAAAACTGGACCGTCTAGATAAAAAAAAGTATTTGTCACGAAAATGAAAAGTCATATGAGCTGTGAAAGCTCTGGTTTCCAAACTGTTGGTTCTGACAAAACATTCTGACCCAATTGACACTAAACCCAATAAATATGTGATACAAAAAGGGATGACATCATTGTTAGGCCATGTCAATCTAATCTACTTGACCTACGACACTCAGAGGATCTAAGTTTGTTAGAAAGTTCTCACCTGAATATAAGCCATACTCAGTGATTCAAGGACGCTTACAAATAACACATAGAAAGATTGATTGATGGGTCACATATAATGAAAAGATAACTTGTATTGGCTCCAAATTCCCTCGTACTCTGCAAGGGAGTAAGGGCTTGTCACTAGCCAGACCCAGATTCTAATTAGTTACAATTGGGGCAGATAAGCCTAACATGTATTGCCAACAATGTAGTAGGTATTTATTTATGTATTCCAACAATAAGAAGAACACCCTTTGATTTTGTAGAATTTTCATTTTATGCTTTGATCCAATTAATCGATTTTGAAAAAGTTTACCTTAAAAATTTAACAGTGAATAAAATAAAATAATGTACTGACTGATACTTTACTGGTTTAAATATTATATTAAAATGTGTGGTGATTAGTGACCGTTTATCGATAATTATTCAGAAATATGAATTTCGACGATTTCTGAATAATTACATTAAAATGATGCTTATATTAAAAATATGTTTACTTATATTTTCAATGACAAACGTAAGGGATGGAGTAATTTGTTATTACATATAAAAAATAAATAAATAATTATTTTATGTGTTTATGGGTAGATAAATATATTTTTCAAAAATGGGACTCCAAGGGTTAATATATTATTTTTTTACTACGAGGGTATTTCAACTACAAGGTTATATTATATGAACCCTTGGGGTGCCAGTGTTTTTGAAAACAAATAAATAATGTCCTTTGTTTACAGTTACTTGGTAGAGAAGTTTATGCTTCTAATAATCAACTTGGTGGTGTGCAAATCATGTATAACAACGGTGTATCTCATAAAACTGAACCTCGAGACTTTGATGGAATAAATGCCATTGTGCGCTGGCTTTCTTATATGCCAAAGGTATTTTTATTTTTTTGTATTTTTATTTTATGGAAATATATAACGTTAAAAATTAATTTTCAGGACAAAACGTCTCTTCTCCCAATAATAACACCCATTGATCCTATCGACAGAGAAATTACTTATACACCGACAAAAGCGCCTTACGATCCACGTTGGATGCTCGAGGGAAGAAGAAGCCCAAGCAATCCAGAAATTTGGGAAAGTGGTTTTTTCGACCATGGAAGTTGGGACGAGGTGATGAGGCCATGGGCCCAAACGGTGGTTGTGGGGCGAGCCAGACTTGGTGGAATACCTCTCGGTGTCATTGCCGTTGAAACGAGAACAGTCGAAGTGCAACTTCCTGCAGACCCTGCTAATCCAGACTCAGAAGCAAAAGTATTATTTCTAGATATTTAGAGACATTAGAGAAATTTGTCTCATCATTGGTCTATAATTAATGTTTCTATCCTTTTTAGACACTTTCTCAAGCTGGCCAAGTTTGGTTTCCTGATTCGGCCTATAAAACATCACAAGCAATAAAAGATTTTGGTCATGAAAATTTGCCCCTTATGATATTTGCCAATTGGAGAGGATTTTCAGGTGGAATGAAAGGTAAGAAAGTGAAGACATAGAAAATAATTGTAAAATCGTAGAAAATATTAATCCACCTCACCCACTGAACACTAATGGAAACAAAAAAAGGGCGATTATTAAATGGCCAGTTGAATGCATGTAAATATACAAAAGTATAAAAATTGATACAAAATTGCAAAAATAATTAAATAATTCGATTCACTTGCTTTGTATGCTTACAATTTAACCCCTTATAATTAACCCCTTAAAATATCAACCACCTAATAAAATGTGTCAACAAATTTTTTTGTTTAGATAAAACTTTTTATGTTATTAAAATGGTTTTAGACACATTTTTTTTTTTTTTTTTTTTTTAAGTGGTCTTATAAAGGGTTAATATCCAAATTGAATACTCACGCATCAAAAAAGTATAAATATCTAATGTTACAATAATTGTAATATTATAATAATAGTTGCTTGTGGTAGATATGTATGAGCAAGTTATAAAATTTGGCGCTTACATTGTTGATGGATTAAGAGAGTATACTCAGCCAATTATAATTTACATCCCACCTAATGGTGAACTTAGAGGTGGAGCTTGGGCTGTTGTGGATCCTACGATCAACCCTACACATATGGAAATGTATGCCGATCCTGACAGCAGGTAATTCTAATGAATAAAATAATGGATAAAAAAAATAATGGAACATTGGTTGGAAAATAAATTTATTTCTTACAGTGTATAATGTAGTGTTTTGAAGTAAATTCCAACGGTTCAATTCAGTTTGAGCAAATATATTTTTTATTAATAAAAGCGATAATTGTCCATATTGTGGTGATTAGTGACCGTTAATCGATAATTATTCAGAAATCGTGAGATGCGGTCTGGTGTGATGTAGGTTTAAAAAAAAAAAAATTCTTTATCGTGCCAATGCTTCGATCTTTATTGAGATCATCTTCAGGGCCTGGGATTTACAAACATTGTTTACATATAATGAATACATGTAGGATGTGGAAAAAAGTGAATTTATACAATGCAAAATATATTTTTTTATATTCAAAGTATTTCTACTCACTCAAAGTGTTTGTCTTCTGTGTAATTCTGCCATTCTTGTGTGCCATGTTGAGAGTATAAGGTTTGTAGTTTGTATAGAGAGTTTGTATAAGGCGTCGGCTCTTGTCTTTTCTGTACTGACTTCCTTCCCCACCCCTTCAAAATCCAACGTATATAAACACAAAATAGCAAAATCTCACTGGCACTCTCAACACGAATTACACAGAAGACAAACACTTTGAGCCCTGAAGATGATCTCAATAAAGATCGAAACGTTGGCACGATAAAGAAAATGTTTTTCTGAAACCTGCATCACACCTGACCGCATCTCACGATTTCTGAATAATTATCGATTAACGGTCACTAAACACCACACATCAAATTGATCAAAGTTCAGCGCTTGAGCAAATGTCCTTTGCATTAATCTACCGTTAAAACTGTTAATTTTGTAAAACTTCTNACGTTGGCACGATAAAGAAAATGTTTTTCTGAAACCTACATCACACCAGACCGCATCTCACGATTTCTGAATAATTGTCCATATTAATTAATGTAATTAATTATACTTTTAGTCTAAGTTGTTGGTCGATATAAAAAGCAAGTGTCATGAGCGGGATTCAAACCCTTGATCTTCGGCTCAATAGATTGAGCTGCTCCGAGGAGTTGGTATCTGGGTGGATCGAAGTCACAATAGCTGGAGTGGTTAGAGCACCAGCACATGGAGCTGAAGGACAAGGGTTCGAATCCTGCTCATGACACTTGCTTTTGAATCTCGATTAAGACCTTATATTAAAATACTTTTTATGTTCAAAATATTTATTTAAATGTGTGGTGTTTAGTGACCGTTAGTTAATGATTATTTGGAGATTGTGAGTCGCAGTCTGATATGACGTAGGTTTAGAAAAAACATTTTCTTCATTGTGCCAATGTTTCGATCTTTATTGAGATCATCAGGGCCCTGGGATTTATAAACATTGTTTAAGTTATACAAATACATGACTTTGTTTGAGTCTAAAATTTCTGGCATTGTATAAATTCATTTTTTCACATCCTACATGTATTTGTATAATTTAAACAATGTTTATAAATCCCAGGCCCTGAAGATTATCTCAATAAAGATCGAAATGTTGGCACAATAAAGAAAATGTTTTTTTAAACTTACATCACACCAGAACGCATCTCACCATCTCCAAATAATCATTTTATTTAAAACAGCATAGATTTTTATAATCTAGTGGTTACTTATCAGAGGTGATCATTCCGATTTCTCATTCATCCATGGATAATTTAATAATACCTAGTTAATTTTCCTTAGAAAGACCTTAATTTTTTTTCGTTGACTGTAATGCGTTTGTGATATAATGGGGGAACCGGAAAGTAATGTCTTTTCTGCCCATGTCAATATTCGTTTGTCATTTATCAGCTCATTGTGTACTTCAAACTCGTGCCAAAGACATTTTAAGGTTAGAATGACTTGTTTACTCGAAAATAATTAAATCTTAAATTTTTCTTTAAAATTTATGGTGAAATGGCCAGCCAAATAAGAGAAGAGGTACATATCCGGCATTGTGTGCTTTTTGAGTTTCACAAGGGTAGTAACACAACAGTTGCTACCAAAAACATTTGTGATGTTTATTGAAGTACATAAGACGTTCTTAAATGCCGAAGGTGGTTTTTTTAGTTCAAATCTGGTAATTTTGATCTTTTTGACTTGTATTAGTCAAGACAAACAACTTTAGACAATGACATGTTAATGGCAGAAGTGGATGCAAATTCGTGTCAGACAATTGAGACTGACTTGACAACTATCAAACACTCATAACCAATGTTGGACATCCATTTGAGAACTTTTAGATTAGTAAACTAAGCAATCAGGTGTTTGCTTCAGCAACACAATACAGAAGTGTTTTTTGATTGCTTGATCACTGGAGATGAAAAATGGTCCTCTGTGATAATCCAAAATGCAAAAGGGAGTGGCTCTGTATGAATGAATTGCCACAAAGTACAGCTAAGCCAAGTTTACACCTCAAAAAGTGGTTTCGTGGAATAATCGCGGGGTTTTCATTTTGAAGTGCCGAAATCTTGACCTTTACCGTGAACAGTTAGATCCAGTCAGTGCATTCATCAACAGAAAAGGCGTTATTCAGCAACAGTATTATGTAAGATGCACTGAGCAAGACAAACCCTAGAAAAAATTGTAGGAGGTATTGCCTCACCCACCATACTCATCTGATATTACGCTATCTGATTTCCATTTATAACAATTGCTACTACATTTTCTGAGTGGCAAAAAATTGAAAATTTTGATGATGTGCCAAATACATCTCTAGATATTTTGCTCAAAAACTAATTTATTTGTATCGATCAGGCATTGAAAATTTGCACACTAGATAGCAAAAAGTTGTTGACAATGAAGTAATTACATCATTGATTAAAAATAAAAACTTACGAAAAATTTATCTGTTTGAATTAATGTAAAAAATGAAATTACTTTCCACTTATTATGTTTAATGCAGTCAATATATTTTATATAGCAATCTCGTCTATACTAATATTTACTTTTATTTTGTTCAGAGGTGGTGTTTTGGAACCTGAAGGAATAGTAGAAATTAAATTCAGGATGAAAGATTTAGTCAAAGTAATGGCAAGATTGGATCCAGAATTAATAAAGTTTCGAGAAAGGCTAGCAGAAAATGTGAGCAATGAAGAGAAAGCAGAATTGGAGGAAAAAATTAAAAATAGAGAAAAGTACCTAACCCCTATGTACCACCAAGTAGCTGTACATTTTGCCGATCTTCATGACACACCAGAGCGCATGCAAGAAAAAGGCGTTATTCAAGTATTTATTATTTACACATATTTAGAAATGTATGTATAGTGATAATAGTGATTAAAAAAAATTTTTTTTAAAGGATATCGTTCCATGGAGGAATTCTAGAAGCATATTGCATTGGCGCTTAAGAAGACTCCTTCTTCAAAACATAATCAAAAGAAATATGATCAAGATGCAGCCTTCTCTTAATGATGGTCAAGCCCAAGCAATGCTCCGTAGATGGTTTATTGAAGAAAAAGGAACTACTGAGGTATTTATTTTACAGATTTTACTTAATAACAGTAAACAATAAGTTATAATCAAATTTAAACATTATTTTTAGTCATATCTGTGGGATACTAATCGAGCTGTGGTTTCATGGCTGGAATATCAGTTAAGCATAGGGGAAACAGGAGAATCAATCATTGCTAAAAATATGAAAAGTGTTCAGCGTGATGCTATTATTAACCAAATAAAGAATGCATTAGATGTAAGTATATTTTTGAATTACTTATCTGTTTATCCTTATTCAAATCATTCATATAAGGGCGCGCGCTGATTTCTATGTACTTAAGAGGAGAACATTTAGCGTACAGTCTTAATTACTTTTTGTGCGGAGGGAAAGTAAGGTTCAAAAATACAACAAATCAGAGAGATAATATTCATGAACATTGAATTTTACATTTTTTTGATTGTCTTAATATCGGAATAAAAAATAAAATGACAAAAGTGTGGACCCCATCATGCTGGGTACTTAGAGACTAAAGCTAAAAGTATAGAAACATGAACATGCTTTAGCTGGTTGGCTATGAAATTTTTGATTCTTGATTCTCTGAATGTTGGTTTTCCTAATACAGAAATCATTGTTCAACATTTCCTTGTATAATTAACACAATATGGAGTTGAAGCCTAGCAGCCGTTGTAGTCAGACATGTTTTAGTGTGCTCCGCTTTAGTTTGACTTTTTAGTGGTTTTGGTGTTTTTGAACAACTGTTTTTTGCCTATAGGCTGTTGCTTTATCTCCGTTTTTGCGAAGTGTGACAGGATTTACTTTTTCTGTAAGTAAGAGTCCCCAGTGCGTGTTCAAAGTTCCATTGATAGTCGTGTTTACAGGCCATGGTCATTGCCATTCCTGTTGACAGCTGTTACCGCCCTATCAAGATTTTGGTTACAGATGACTCGTTTACGTGTTGTTTGTGGCATTGATTTATTTAAAATATATGCAGTCCGACACCAATAAGACTTAGCCTACTAAAACAAGCACTTGAGCTAAAAGAGCGAGAAGTTCCCCTGAGTCTTTTTCCATGGCCAAGAGGATATCCACCTCTCAACCAGAGTTCTACTGTGATGTTCCGTTGTCTACTTTTATGGAAAATATGAAGCATTAATGAATGATCTGGATGCTAAGCTGGCCTCCTTGGCCTCCAAGGCGGAGATTAAGGCCCTGCAAAATGAGGTGGCAACACTTAAAGATGAAAATCAGGGCTTGAGGCTCGAGATGAAAATAAAACAAACGATTTACTTATTGATGCTCTTGACAACAGGGGATACAGGAGAAATCTCGTACGGGGTCTGAACCGCAATCCTGACGACAATCCATAGCAATTGATCTGTAATTTCTGTCATCAATTGCTTCAAGTGGATATTAAAACAGAGAATATTTTCGCCTCTTCCCTTGGTCCAAGAGGTGATGTTTCTTGACCACTCCTTATTTTGTTTGAGTGGCTTACCGACAAGACGGCTGTTTTATTAAAAGTAGCAAGGCAACTGAAAAACACAGATTACTCTATTCAGCAGGATTTTTCCAAGAATGTAAGAGGAAGATCTTAACTTTCTTACGCCGAGAATTTACCGGCTTCGCTCCGTGGAGACGGGTGGGGTTACTTAATGTATTATTAAATTTAAAAAAAATGGGCGCCACGCTGTTTATATACACGGGAACAGCAAACCGTAAAGAAAAAGAAATAAAGGAAATAAATCCAAGAAAATTCAATAACAGTAAAATTAACTAAAAAAAAAGAGAACACAATATTTACATAAGGAAACAAAAATAAACACATTTATTACAAAGGAACCTAAAATATTAAACATAGACCAATCTTAATCCCTACGGGTAACATTTTAACAAACTTACGCACTAAATGAATCTAAATTATCTTAAAATCTAAATAAACATTCCTTAAAAACTAAACTTTCCTGGGAACCAGTGTCCAGATATGCTTCTTTTCCAGGCGATTGAAAATCCCCCTTCTAGGAATGTGGAGCACCTTCTCTGAAGTTGAGTGGGTCCGCGATCGCCTTCGTTGATCAAGGAATTGATGATTTTCTTTGATCCGGCCAGGCCGTAGGGATATCCGTCTCCGACGCACACCGTCCTCTCTCTGACTCACTCCTCTCCACTCTCTCATAAGCCTATCCTAGGCCGTATTAATTTTGATTGACCCACCACCAATTTTAGTTTAGGTGGCATTACAATTCAGGAGGCATCCTCGGCCAAACAACAATAATACACTCATACTACGTTACGAACGTAACAACTTTTGTTAATGCACTGAGAGATTCTACGACTAAAGAACTCTTTGAAAGTCTTTGTCACTTAGGACCATCTTTGCGTTCAAGATATAGTAAACGAAAATGGCGAATTAGTAGGTGGTAGGGATAACGGAGTTGGAAAACTGTGTGAGGTACTTGGCGCAAATGTGTCATTCTCTTCTTGGGCATGCTTTCTGACTCGCAATCCTCGAGACCACTTTGCATTGGACTCCTGGCCCGCTTGCTTATAATATTGCGGGCTTAAAAAATAAAGTTGATAACTTTTGTTTTCTTGAATTCATTAATAATTTTGATATATTTTGTGAATCACAAAGAAATGTCAAAGGGTTCAAGGAATGTTCAAACATTGTTCAGGGATCTTTCAAGAACTGTTTGTATGCCGTTCGATGACCGTTATAATTGCCATTATAATATAATAATAAATGCTGATATACTATGAACCAGTTTCTGTCAGGATTTATTAGGTGCACTAGTTCATAACATCATAGAGGGTCAGTTTTTCATGATGTTTTTGGGCAAGGAGGTCATGGCTGAAGCACGTTCATGCTAAAATGCAAGTCAGTCACAACCCAAATGTCACTTACCAACACTAGTTTCCACATTCTTCAGCGTCTTCTAGTTTCTCTTTTTAGCAGCTTCCTGGACCCTCGACAGTCAACTATATTCGACTGGCTATGTCTCTTTACAGGTTCTGGTTGACTGAGTCCTCTGACTGGCTGACTGACTCCTTTGATTGAGTATTTTTGCTTTTCCAATCTTCACTTTTTATATTGGTTTCTGCACAAGGGTGGAGAGAAGGAAAAACAAAACCTGTTTGGCCTGATGGACCCCACCCTTCTCGACACCTCCGACTCATTATAATTCGAGGGAGTAATCATTACACAACCCCCTTTGTTGATGGCCTTCTGGGGTAGAGAGTACAAAGCCCATCTGGTTGACAAGATCTCTCCATACCATTAGGTTCTCTTCCTGAAATGGGTTTAATTTAATGATAGACTAAATTTAGACTTAATTTCTTAAAAAACATATTTGTTCTTACAACAATGTATATGCATACTTGTACATAGTGCTAAAACATTATTATAATAATATATTTGTTTATGTCAAAATAATTTATTATAATTATTTAATTTTTTGAATTTTTTATTTATTTATTTTATTTTTTTTATAGGAAAGCCCTGATGTTGCAATGGATGCTTTAGTTGAACTTTTTGAGACGTTAACTCCATTGAAGAGGTCTGAAGCACTACGGACGTTGTCACATTTAGAGACTTTCAGCCCATCGCCTGGTCTGGCTGATATACAAAATACACCTCATTCAGAAACATGAGGGTTACCATACACCTGGGGGGTTAGTGTCAATAAAATTATTCGTTTATACCTTTCATTTGATATGGTTACTATTAATTTTTTTGTCTTGTTCCAGGGTCAATTCAACACTTACAAAAGTATCTTGTGATCGTAGGATAGATGTTTTAGTTTAGTTCCCGAGCGTCACATAATGTTAACAAGCTAAATGTGCATGCAAATGATTTGTATTTTTGAAATTCAAACTGTGTGAGCATAGTTTATAAAAAAAAAGACATATAGAAGTGTTAGGTAATAATGCTAGTGATTTGAATTATGATAGGCTGGCATGTAAAGGTGTGTAGAACTGAATTTTTTGTAGATTTGTTTTTAGCCTTTATTTAATTACACTGAAAACTAAGATTTAAAGCTGTTTTAAAAGCCAAGACCACGTGTTTGGTGAACCAAATACTGTAAAATATAATTTGTAATTAAATTGACATATATTTTTATATAAATGTGGTGTGAATTTTGAAAAGTTCACTTTAATTAATAGCTGATTCTAAATGTTTATATTATTTATATTCATCAAATCATTTGTATATTAAGGACTATAAGTTAGATTGAACACATTTAAATAAATTGTAGAAATGTTTCTTATTTTTATAATGTGTACTTACTGTACAGGGATAAATTTTTGATTAAAAGGTATTTGAAGTTAACGTATCTATTTATTCAGTGTTGCTACCAAAATTCTTTGATTTTACAATTTCAAAAGCCATTTTTTTTGTGTCAACTAAGTGCAACTGAACATTTTATGATGAAAAAAAATTGGAATGTGTCCTGTTTTTAATACCGGTTTATTACACAATATGAAACATCTTTTTCTGAACAGGAAATGAATGAAAAAAAAAATGAATAAGTAAAATATATTTTATTACTATTATTTTATTATCCTTTTCTAAATTATTTTCCCAGATCACAAGTTTTCTAACAGGTGAGTCACAAGATTAGAAAAGGCTTTTTAATCTTAGATTGTTAGGGACATCAGTTGCCGCAACGGTGTAGGCTCTGTAAGGTAAAGGTACCGGGTTTGAATCCAGCATTCGACCTGACATACAAATGGGCTTTTTTTGAAAAACACCAGCACACCGAAGGTTGATATGAGCTCTGCTGTTACGAGCCCTCATAAAAAAATCTTAGATTCATTTGTTCAAGAAAAAAGTCATATAATCCAAAGTCTAATAAGCTCCAAATTAACTGTCTGAAAGGGACAGAACAAGAGAATATGGGAGATGTGCTAGGATTTCTTGCTGTCTCAAAAAAAAAAAAAAAAATGCATGTAATTTATGAAGCTCAGGTACAAAGATCTTAAAGTAAGTAAGATATTTCCTAACAAGCTTAATATCCAACTACCTAGTATCATGGATGAGGGGTCAGAACTAATTAACAATACTTTTTTCATACTATTCTCAGTTAAAATAACATGGGGCTGTGCCAGGATTTGAACTCAGAACTGCTAGCATGGCAAGTAGAATACAGTTGTCCCAACCACTCAGCCACACCTGTCCCTGATTATTTTTTTTAACTAGCGTTTACCAACAATGATGAAAACCCCTCGCACTGTTGTCAATGGGGTTACTCAATATTATGACATCAGCTCTCATTAATCACACATACACACATATATTTCATATACACACATATATACAAACAAACACACATAACTCACATTACACATACACACAGTATATTCAATTCTATATCTGATATTGATTTCCCTTAATAAGATTAGGGAACCTAACAATTGACCCATGTTGATATCTTTGTGCTAGGGGTCACGCCTTGCTCCTTGGAAGTACGTGCTACCTGGACGCTGACTAAAGCAGATAAAATTATGCGGGATTATAAATCTTTTTCATTTAAACAATAATATTCAAAATCTAGTAAAAAGACTTAATTTTGATTACATAATATCAACAGATTTCAATGTCACAACCCATTTCCCTTATGGCACAACGCGACCAAGTGTGACCAAGTGTGACACATTTATCAACCTTTGTCTACAAGTGGAATATTTGTGGAGGTTTTGCCTCAAAAGCAGGTGTCTGCAAGTCAGACGGGTTTGGCCTGTCCTTAATCGGGTTGGCACTGTCCTTTCCTTTTATTTCAGACTCTCAGGGGGGCATTGCTCAATGATGTTCTTGATTTGCAAGAGCTTCTCAGATGGCCTGGTCCATTGTGCTACCCTACCAACGCTCTCTTAAGCTGGGTTTCCATTGCACAAAAAAAATCACTTGCACAACTAAACACGAGAACCACTCACAAAGCATGGTCTTGGGTTAACCATTTCCACGAGGCGAAACAATGTGAGCTATCAGTTTGCACAAGACAAGCATGCTTGCATTTAAACTACAACTTCTGCATCAGAATTTGCATACTTTTTGTCTTTGTCCCATTTTGATGCTCATTTCCTTTCATGTATCCTCTCTCTTATTCTTGTTATGACGAGTTATCTTTAGCATCCCACAAAAATTGGTAGCTGTGGTACACGAATGCAGACGTCCTGGTTCATTCTCATACTTGAGACAAGTGCGTTTACGTGGAGAGAAACAAACAATACGGAACACTTTGATGCACACTAAAAACCTGACAGCTCACCCTGAAACATTCTCGCGTAAAAAGTTTCACAGTCCCAGCTAGGTGTCCCCAATGAGACAAGTTTTGCAAAACAATTGGGCTAGTAATTTTTAGTGCTCTGGAAACCCAGCTTCACAGCATTTTTTACTGCCTGCACAGTGCGCCACTGGGCCAGAACAAGGTAGGTTGGTCTAGAGGGTGAGCCAGCTTTTCCTCCCTCATCTGCACATGCTCAGACAACTACTATCGTTTTTCCGAGACGCCTTAACTCAGCATAACTTTCCCACAAGAGCACCACAAGAGGGTTTACCTTTTGTGATGACTCCAAATTCACCCAAAAGTATGTTTTCTGCCATTGCTCTGTTTTATGATTTCTTTAAATTATTTATTGATCTTAGGGCCAAAATACACTGCCTATGATGTGACACAAAGCTGAGCAGTCACAATAAGAAGCTGAAATTGCATCATATAGCTTCATTACAATAAAGACTATTATTATTATTAATGTTGGCTTGATAAATAGAAGTTGACAAATAATAATAGACAAGTTGCATATTGTACTAAAAATAAACTAATATAAATTAAAAGATAAAAAACTTTACAGAAATAAATGTTTGAATGATTTTAATAAAATAACTCACCATTCTTCAACCAAACACAATATGATTTATCATAACCACATTAAATCAAAATAGACCTAATTTATACATATTTTATACTTAATATTAAATAAAATATAATTATATAAAAATGAAACTAAATGTAAAATCATTATATAAAAAATATAATTATATAAAAATGAAACTAAAGGTAAAATCATTATATAAAAATGTACTGATGAATATTCTTAAAGTGAAAGGGAAATCTTATAAAAATAAATGGGAAATATTACTAACAACCTATTACAACCAAATAATGGTGAAATGACATGGTATTTTAATGATAATAAAAAAAAGAAAAAAAAAAGAAAAGAAAAATGGCAAATAAACAAACGTTTCATATTTGTCTTTTTCCAAAACTTCACATTTCTCAAAATTATATAGTCACTCCGTAGTTTATTCCTACCAAAATACCCTCACTTTCAATTCCTTCTTAACATTTTATTTTGCTTGAAGTGTGAACAAATGGGAAAATAAATAAAACAGCATTAAGCACAGAAAATATACTTTATTTTGTTCCATCTTGCAAACAATGAGAACGAACTTGACCCTAATAAGGTTGTGAAGAAAGTTTTGACAATTGCACATACTTAATGAATTGTACATAGTAATATACTAATACATAGTAGTATACTAATGCTTTATAAACAAAAAAGTAAAGTTTATTGGCACTAAAAAGAAGGAAAAGAAAATATATTATAACATTTTCTAATCACCCAAACACATAAAACTAAATAAATATATACCATTTGACATGTTTTAACACTGCAAAAAATATATTTTCATACAATTTAAAATATATAGAATATTCGTAAGTTACATTATATATATTTACAAGTTTATATTACATGGTCAATTTAGAGGAAAATTTATTTTTTAAACCTTTGCTGGTTTTTCTTGGTTTAAAGCGAATATAATATGTTCATATGACATATTTAAATTATAATTTTTTCTAAGATAGAAAGCAGATTACTATGGTAAATAAGTGTTTTTTAAATGTATAAATGAATGAAATTACAGAAAGGATGAAAGTGACTGAATTAGACATAAAAATAAGTTTGGGTGAAGTTTATTGCTTTTAATGGAATTTTTTTAAATTTTTAAATAATAAATTTTGGTTAAATTGAATCATTCAAACAATATACATTGTATATAACTAAATATGTGAGGATAAATTTGATGCTGCACAATAAATGTTCACAAATTATTAAAGAAAATCTAAATTTTGTTAAGTCGTAATGATAATGTTAAAGCAATTTATACAGCGAAATATTATGATATGCTAAATATGATGTAAAAGTTCGTTTGGGGGGATATGGAACAGGCTGTTCTAATGACAAAATTGAATTTAGATATAATTAGTTTTGGTTTATTTCATGCTTGGCTAATTGATCTAGTATTAGGACTTTTTTTTTTTTTAAAGATTTGAGTAAGAGTAACGAGTAAACAAAATCTATCAGGACTAACCAGTTTTTATATTTCATTATGCCAATGAAATTAAACATCAGCCTGTGAAATTGTGACAAAAGAAAACATGAGGTAAGCAAATATATATTCAATAGAATAGAACTACCATTTAAGCTAATTATACGTCTAATTTATTAATTATACTCAGACTTCAGAACTTTTTCTTGAAACTAAGCAGAAATGCAAAAAAGAAAGAAATACTATATGACCTTAACAATGCTAATATTAGGGATTTATTCTCCCTATAATCCTGTGAAAAATAGATAAAAGTAAACTACATCAATATAACTGTGACAGTTTGAAAACAAATTCATGGATTTTTATTTGCGAAAAGTAATAATAAAAAATAATAAGACTAGGATATAACATACATTGTTTAAATAATTTTTAAAAATTATAGGAGGCACTATTTATTAGGGGGGACTTTGGAAGGTGGAAGGAGGGTCTGCAGGGAGACATATCTGTCCTTGTCAGTTGTGCCGACGCTGGTGATGTGCTGAAAGCAGCATGGCTGGGAAATATGCGACTTGGCAGGAAGCGTCCTCTGTGGCTGCTGCTTCTTCGTCTTCCTGGCCACTGGGACTGAGAGGCTGATGTTCTCCGGGCAGGAGGTGAGCCTCTCTATGTGTTCCCACATCTCACGGGCAGCCGATTCGCAATCGAAACTCAGGCCGATGTATGTTGTATGGTCTGTCGACAAGCACATGGTGTGGAACGATGGGCTGTTTGACCTGTATGCTGACAAATTGTCAATTTTATCTGACCAGAGCCTGAAGGATGAGCCCCTCTCTGCCAAGACGATGCTGATCCCTCGATTTGTCCTGGATCTAGCCTCTCCTGTGTCAAGAAGCACCACAGGAACTCCTGTGTACTGAAGAGTCCACCTCCTGTCGCTACCCTTACTCGAATAAAGGTTTACCAGTGATCCGCATACAAACACCTGAAATAAAATTAAACTTGTTATTTCCTTCATTTATACAGAAACCCGTATGCAGTTTATCATCAGTTTATCAGGTTATAAAGTACAAATTATAAATTTTTACATTCCTACAAAAGGTGCATGTTTTGACCTTATCTCTCAGGATGTCATGTTGATTTAAAAGGTAATGAAAACATTTGTTAACATAAAAACTGGAAATATCGCCCTCTTACACTGATAAATTCCAGACTATCGAGCATCTGAGGAAGTAAAAGCGTGAGTGAGGAAATGATGGGAATCGCTCACAGACACAAACACCCCAAAATGTCCTTGCAAATTTGGATAAAAAGAAACTACAGAATAAATCAAAGGAAGCAGGAAAATATACTGAATCCTAATAGGGCAATGGGAATTTGAGAAAGACTATCGATACCAAATGCAGATTCTGCGAGAAGGCAGAGACCCCAAACATACTAATATCAGATCAAGGTAAGAAGAAAGCAAATTCAGTTGTTACTGCCAAACTTTTGACCTATTTTAAGGTCATCGTCAGGGCAAACAATCTTAAGTATATATACAGATTGACATATTTAACTTTTTTTATAGGCAATCTCAAATTTCCTTGAAGACCGACTCATCCCAACATTGCCAAGGACCTTAATAGTATTGCAGTTACTGCAAAGCAACCTGTACAATCTCTGAAAATTTAATAAAAATTGGTCTCATGGTTGTGGAGTTTTGCCGGTTATAAGGAATTGACCTCAGACAGACAGACATACACTAAACAAAATTAGTTCAGAAGGTCATTTGATTGATTTGACATTTTGATTTTGGAGGACAACTTTTTTTCAACTTGAATGAATACAAAGCTACCTTACTTTGGTAATTGGGAAGTAAAATATAACCAAATCCTTAATGAATTCATTGGCAGCTTACTTTAGGTACTGAGCGGCGGTAAAATGCACGGTTAGCTTCCCCTAGAATTTAAATTTTCTCTCTTTTATTCTGCCAAAAAATGGCTATAAAATAAAACATGGGGCAGAAAGTAATAAATATTACTTCAATTCACTTGCTAAAAAATTCACAACTTTTTTGTTTATATATAGCCTTTCCGGTTTACTGGTTTAACTAGCTACATACTCTATTTGGAACTATTAGGAAAATATAATTTAAGCAATACTATTTCCTTGTTTCTATTTTAACTGTAAGCTCACTGGATTGATGACTTTAAACATTTCAGGTTGTTGAACTCATGATTGTGTTCCCCCATCTACGAACCTATAGATCAACTTCATTATCAGCTTATTTCCATTTGGTTTTATTACAAATTCCTCCGTTAAGTATAAAACATGCTTTCAACTCGAATTCAATCTCGAGTATGTTAGTTGATAAAATGTTGTACTATTGACTAGTTTGATTTTTCGACTGAAATGAAAAACAAGCAAGAAAGTCCATTATGCTAAGAATACCATAGAAGTCACTGAGCCCAGCAGCTCATATCCGGAGGAAAAAAGAATTATTTCCTATCATCATAAAAAGAAGAGGAAAAAGAGATAAACTAAATGGCCCGCAATTTTTTTGTTCCCCTATGACATTGAACTTGACCGAAGCTCGTCCATTTTGCAATGGGGCACTTTACTCGAAGGCCTTTCACAAACGGCTTTGAATATTCACAAGAACATTTCACGCGATTTTCGTCTCCCATTAGGAGATATTGCAGTAGGAAAAAAGAGATGAAATAACAACGGTGTTAAGCAATGCCAATTTACAAAACAATCTCATCAGCGAGTTCTCAAGGTCGGAAAGGGACTTAAGAGCAAATTGCCTTCTCGTGCCTGGCTAATTTAGCCTGAAGAAGATACAAGTGTCCATTCCGTGAGACCCATTGTGTAAACGTTTCGAGCTTTTTTCAAATTAACAGCAAATCGTTTTTGAATTTCATGATATTAGCATATCGATCAGCGATCTAGCCTACATAAAAAAAACTAATGCTTAGTTAAATTTTTTTAAAATAAATAATTTGCGCTACTACTTCAGTAATTTAGTGTATTAACATAACTCAAAGACAAAAAACGGATTTGTGCTTGTTTATTTTCCATAATAACTAGGTCGACTTAAAACGTCAACAAAACATTAAAAACTTGTTGTTACCTTTATAGTGTTTGTAATCCTTTACACTCATTAGGCTAAAAATAAAGAAAATCAGTTCAATTTCATCTTTTCCAGAGGCAACTTGTCGAGTTAATTAGTTTTTTAAATAGTTTTCTTTGATAAAACAATAAATTTGAGTAAAAAATTATTAAATTTCCCCCGAAGATTTCGCCCGGGCAGATGCTTTGACCAACGACGGATGTCTGTTTAGATAGCTCAAGTCCTTGGTGTGATCGCTCTACCAATCACGATGATCTGCAGGATTTAGGACCAGCGGAAGTCTAGAACGAAGAGAAGGTGGTCGACCGCGATGTTCGACGGCTAGAGACCGTTGACTTGAAAGTCAACTCCAAATGGTCCTTAATGTAAGGATTCTAAAACATTCATCAGAGAGCTTCTTGAGAATAGCCTATCTCTAGACGTCCCGCCTCAGGTTCCCTACTACTGGCATCGAGTAGATAGATCGAATAGGCGACTTTGCAAATTTCGCTTGGACACTTGAACAATGGGGGCACAAATGACTGTCGGTTTGTTTTGTGGCTTTCAGATGACCTGGACCGTGGAATTACTTCTACATGTATTACTTTATGTGTCATTCGTGAGTAGACAGTCAAGACAGTCAGTATGGGGTGGAATCAACGTCCATGCCCATGCCGAACTGATTATCATACAGAAGGATCTTTGAGTTCTGAGTAGGTTCTGTTCCATTTGCTACATTTATTGGGAAGAACCTCCAGTTAATTGATATGCTCGAGTTATCCACCCGTTACTTAGAGCAAGGCTTCCCAAACTTTTTTAGCCAGCGGACCCCTTTCACAGAACAAAATGGCGGACCCATCGCATTCAAGTATTTAACATTAGATACTTATAGTATATGTAGTAAATTAAAATTTTATAAATTGGCATTAGGCAGTTCATTCCTAATTAGATGATGGAAAGAGATACCATTGTGAAAACAAATGTTAGATTGACATATTTATCGTTATTTACAAAATCGGGAGGTTAAAATCAATAGGTATGTAACACTCGAGCGGGAGGGTGGAGTCTGAAATAATGACCATCGACTTTCATATTCACTTGAAGACAGAATGGTTGGCTTTGTCGAAATTGGAAAAGGTTTGACCACCCATTCATGGTCTTGCAGCAGCTGTTGGGAGGACATCTCCCAACTTCGAAGGCGTTCATATAAAAAAGGAAAACAAAAATTGAACACAGGAAAAGATTCCGCCTCTTCCTTCTCAACAAATTCAACACAAAACTGGATTTTCCTTTTGAAGTCGTGACCTTTGTATAAGGGGGCGTCGGTGGCCGCAACGGTTTAGGCGTTGACACGGCACTCATCACTGTAAGGTAAAGGTCCCGGGTTCGAATCCAGCGACCCTGCATTCGAACCCGACATACTTGCAAATGTTTTTTTTTTCTCAAAAACACCGGCACCCTGTGGAGAACACAATGGCTGGCAAAATAAAAACTTTTCGTTTTCAGGATTCATTTTATTATTTTTAATTTTATTTATTCATTCTCCGTTTATTTTTGTAATTATTACTTTTTCTCGAAGTTGGCCGCGGACCCTCAAGGGCTTTGCGTGCCACAGTTTGGGAAGCCCCGACTTAGAAGATGTACCACAATGAACTGTACAGGACCTTCCCCTGACACGAATCCTTAGAACACTAAAGAGATGGATTAGATATCGTTCGCCTTATCCAAAAAGCTTTGAACAGTTTCAAACAATTCTTGTTGAGGAATGGGATTCTGTTTTACAAGACGAAATCCGATCGCTTATTTACTAGATGCTTAGGAGACTTAAAGCCCTCCACGAGGCCAGAGGAGGAAGTACGCGGTTTTAAGAGCAAAACTAGGTAATAAATTGTTTGTTAAATTTTAATCTGTCACTGGAATGATTTTCTGGTATTTTGGCGAATTTTCTTTCAAACCATCATAATTAAATACACGTTTAATTTGGTTTACATTAAAATGAGTATGTTGTAATTAATATAGTTATAAAAATACATATAGTTTGAAATAAGGCGTGGGCGGGAAGGAAATCTTTTAACCTTAGGGCTCAGGTCATTCTGCCCACTTAAACCGGCCACGGCGAGGCGACCACATTCCAAACCAGTAGAAATCCGATTACACTGCAAAAGGAATCTGCAGACTTGAATCTTACCCGTCAGGGAAAAGTGACGGCTGCTGGTTGCATTTCGCCCTGACAGACATGGATGCCGGGCTGATTAAAACAAACAAGAAAAATTTTTTTTGGGTAATATCGTTCTTTATATCGTCCTCTTACGTTCTGTAAAAAAAATGCTTATCGAGTAATTTTATAGATATGCTATTATCTTATTCGTAAGGCTGATCCCTGTCTAACAGACGCAGAAAATTTGAGATTAGCGACAATTAAGATAGAGCTCGTAAAAAAGACTTAAGTATGAAAACCCCCATTGGACTTTTGATTACAAGTTATATTATCCTCCTAGGAATATGGTTAAAACCGACCATTCCAAAACTCGTCTTGTGGTTTTCAAATGGCATTAATTTGCGGGGATCAGTAAAATTGTTTATAAACAATTTGGTGCTGCCTGTCCTCGCTTGCCAAAATGGAGTGTGCAGTGGTACCGAATAATTTTACACTTAACGTTTTGTGTTTGTTTCTCATTACTACTATTCATTATTACATATAAAAACGTAAAGTAGCAAATAAAATAAGTAACTAATAGATTCAAAAGGTTTGTTTTATCTTTTAATTGAGAAAATTCCTGTTGTACCACATATGGAATAGAGTTGAACATAAAGCCGTAAAATTAGAATGTATAAAAATATAAGCTTGAAAATATATTTTCTTCATAGAAAAACACAATTTTGATAATTTA